CGGAGGAGTCGGAGACCACCACCACGACTCCACGAGAGCTATGCACCTGCGCGGGGAGGGGTTCCAGGCTATGAAAAGCATCGGCATCAGCGTGCATCAACCCTCCGCACTCCACTCTTTTCTTAGCATAAAGCAGACAGACAGTCGTGAGGAAAGAATGGGGAAAAAAAAGCAAGGAATATTCGAAAACCCGACGGCGATTCGTAAAGTACCCTGACAAAAAGGATTGGACAAAGCCCGTTTTACACCAAAAATGCCCATTTTCATGCAACCCAAACATACCTCCACCTGGTCGAAAAAAATTGTCTCTTTCACAGAAGCGTTAGAATCACAAGCTTCTTCATCAATAAAAACTTTGACGACTTTCATCATGGAGTGGGGCTGTACGACATTGTATTGTGCAGGAGTTGAAAAGTGATATTACATTTTGTATAGGGCTCCCATACAAAAAGCTACTTAGCAACCATTAACTTTTGCCCCGTATGGTATTTCTCCGCGACAACAATTCAGAACTCCGTGAGGAGCTCCCATATCGCTGTCGGTGTAGTTATAGAGGTCTCCCGATGGCCTCTGAATTTTTTCGATACGTTGTGGTTGTTGTATCGGTGGTTGAAAATGGCCATTTTTGGTGTAAAATGGGCACTGTCCAATCATTTCTGTCCTAGTACTGTACATATGTGTGATACAGTACGGTTGGGCCGGCTCTAATTTCAGTTCGTACTGCGTCGCTGCTGCTGCAGTCTGAACACGGATGGACATAATCCTCCACACCGCATCTCCCATCCGAGCGAGCGACCGAGCGAGCGATGGATCGACTGAGTGGGCACAGGTACTCTAGACGGGCGCAGGTAGGTCGGTAGCTAGGCGCATCACCAGCGGGGTTGAAAGCGCGGCGGCGACTGGATCGTTTATCGTTTAGCGATATCGCTGGCTAGCGTAGCCCGGGAAGGGAGCGGCGAGAATGGCGATGATGGATGATGGAGGAGTTGGGGCTGTATTCAACTTCGAGGAGCCATCTCATATGGCTCGCCTCCGCTGCCTACAACGTTCGGTGTCACTCGATCCGGCTTGTTCGGCCATCACCACCATTCGGATCCACCGATTCGACTAGCCCCTCCACCTATCTTATCTGATTCCATCTATCCTCCATATTCTCCTCTCATGGTGACGGCAGACAACACCGGCGGCAGTCACGCATATACCTAGTATAGGTACTATTATAATAGACATCCGCCCCGCGCGCGCGAACACCTCTTTGAAGTGCTCTCCAAGCTCCAGTCCATGATCGCGCGCGCGGGCCGGTTGAGGAATGTTTGTTTTCTGTCTGATCATTGATCGTATGCGACTGAAAATGCATATCATGGCAGTAAATCGCATGTGACCGATAGATCATGCCAATATCCGGTTTGGGAATGTTGATGCGCCGTGCGGCAAATTGCAATTTGGAAAACAAAAACGAGTGATGGGGCTGCGAGTGATGGGAGCGGATTGGGCTGGAGTGGACTGGGCTGGAGTGGACTCGACGGACAGGAATATTGTTGAGGGGGTGCGCTTGTTTGGATTTCGAGTACCTAGTGTAGACGGTGGCGAAATTCCCCCCCCTCATCCGCCCCTCCCCCCTCATCACCCCCCTCATCACCCCCCTCATCAGCCCCCTCATCACCCCCCTCATCGCGTATTGACAATCACGCATTAACATCACGCATTGACAATCAATCTGTCTGTCTGCGCCTCTATCGCCGAGTTGCGGGACATGTTACATGCTACTAGTAGTAGGGCCCACATGCCTACATACATCCCCAGCTACCTACATACCTAGGTTCATTCATCGCAGCGAGTGCGCGCAGACGCGGCGCATGGACGCGGATGCGGATGAGGATGCGGATGTGGTTCGCTGCGGTATGGATTCCAGGCATGGATTTCAGGCATGGATCCGAGATGATCCATCCACGTCCACGTCCGCGGAGGACCGCGAAGGATGGAGGATGGACATACTCCAATACATTCGCTATTTGTGTTGGTGGCGACGTCCAATATCCACGTTGAGCGAGAACCTGTGACTGGTTCTGCCATTCTCGCCCTCGGAAAACAGATCATATCCGCGACGAGCACACGATTAGGCAGGTAGATTGTTCGATAATTAAATGCAAAAGAAAAAAGAAAAAAGAAAAAAGAACACTCAGAAGCGTGAAGCTTCTCGATTCGGGTTACGAACTCAGGAAGTGGCGACGAAATGTCCGCCTAGTACCGGTATGTAGAGTAGAGTAACCAGCCCGAGTGCAACTCCTCGCCTCCGCGTGCATTGCGAATCCCTTTTCACTCATCCCGTCGCCATCCCGTCGCCATCCCGTCGCCATCCCTTCGCCATCTCGCGTTACCCTCGTTACTCTCGTTACCTATTGCACTCTGGAGCAGGTAATTAGAGCTGAGCAGGCCTAGCAAGACGAGACGAGACGAGACCAACAAGTTGACATCCATGTCGCCAGTTAGTAGTTAGTTAGCAGCTACGGTATCGCATCACCGGAGCTTGCCACCCCCCCACGCGCGCGAGGCGAGTGCGGGAATGCAAGCACTAGTTGTGCCCTCTCGTATTGGCATGGCATGGGCGGGGGGCGAGGGGGGAGGGGGGGAGTCACGCACTCTCACCCTCACTCTCACTCTTTGCACCTCTCGGGCATGTGTGTGTGTGGGAGGGGGGGGGAGAGGGGGCACGTGTCGGCGCCCGTCGGGAGAATTCGCGGAGCATGCCGCGTTGGTTGGTCGGCTGGCTGCTCTAGTCCGCCCGCCATCCAGCCACCGGGGGCCACGCGTGGGCGAGAGGCGGCGAGACATCCAACAAATACAGCAACAGCAGCAACATCACAAACGGCATCCGGAGAGTACGTTAGGCCCCATACGGCGCGACCGACATCGGATGCTGGGAGAACAGCCCCGGTAGTGGTCGGGTTCGAAATCGCGGCTCAGCTGGAGGCTGGACGCTGGAGGGGGAAAGGAGGTACTGCTACATAATTGTTGAGTTTTGCTAGAAAATAGGTAGAAATGGAGGCGGGGATGCGGCTAAGGGGACGGGGATGAGGGGGCTGGCGGGCTGAGGTGGGTTGTCAACACCGGGGATGATCGGGGATGATCGGGGATGAGCGGGGATGATCGGGAAGGAGCGTCGCGATGGACGGCGGTGGTTGAGACTCGGGAGTAGGAAGTCACGGGATTGACGGAATGTGATGGGAAGTGACGGGGAATGCGGAGAGGAAAGGTGGTGGTAATCATAGGTTGGCACTCTGTGTTTAGTACAATTGGTAGGCAACCGTGACTTGGAAACCGTGGCTTGAACATTGGAAGTCTCCATTCAACACACCCTGCGTAGTCAACTGTAACTCGGATATAAGAATCGTCCACTCTCCACACTCTACGCACTAGTCAACCGTGACGGTGACTTGAACATTAGAACATTATATCTCCACTCACACCCATCTCGACTCGCCATCGACTCTCGTATATGATTCCGAGCCAAATCTCGCAGCGAAGACTGCACCGACAAGACACCGAGATCCGACAACACCCTGGGTGAGAGTGGGAAGTCACGAGATGTGATGGGGAATACGTGAAAGATGATTACAATCATGGACTATCACCCTACGTAATCAACTGTGGCTTGGAAATTGGAAGTCTCCATTCACATCCACTGACGGTGCTCGCTTCCAGCAGCCTCCCAGCCTTCGTCAACCCACCATTGACTCTCGTTCACAACACCACAAAACCCCTATGATTCCGAGCCAGATCTCACCAGCAGCGAAAAATGCACCGATCCCACACCGAGGTCCCAACACCCATGGACTGCTTCGCATCCAAAAGCGGTCCGCAAGCTCGCGAACGGATGGGAGGTGATAACTCGCCGTCACTGCGATCACTACCGCTACTCATCCAGAGTACCGGTAGTTCCCGTGCCCAAAGGCCAAAGGACAAAGCTTAGAAACCGTGCCGCGCCACTCCCGATCGCGCGGGTTGACGCACGCACGCACTATCACTCATACTTCCGAGCCACCGCTCGGGTTTTTTTTGTTTAATCATCATTAAATTTCGACCTTATTAGATCATGGTAGATTACTTAAACGGTCGCCAAGAGCTCGATATCGGCTCCCTATTGCTCCCCGCCCAGCCACCGCTCGTATGAATATGTATATGGGCGTTGGGACTCTCTAGGGCACTCGAGCGGGTGGAGAGGTGAGAGTAGGAGGAGGAGAAGGGCGCTGAGGCTGAGCAGTCGGAGGTTGACGCCTATTCTTTGCCACAGGCGTGGCGTGCGAGCGGTTTGGTAATATCGATCCTACAGGCTGCAGTTGATGAGGACTGCGTCTCATCGCTGTACCAGCTCCATTCCCCTACCCAATCCTGACAACGTAAGCTGCAGCATTCCCGGGGGGGCACCCAGCCGGGCGGTCACGTCGAGTGATGCGATGAGCACAGCGTCATGCGCGATCACACGGAATTCTTACCACCCTGCTGGATCGCTTTGGATGAAAATTGGGTTTAACAGCGGCTTGGAAACGGTGTATGTGTGTTTTACTATGATTTACCTATCTAGCTAGGCCGCATGTAATTAACTACCTACGTCATCTACGGCACGATGAAACTAGAAACGGGAAATGGAACAGTTAATGCTCGTTCTGCTGGTCCTGCCGGTGCACCGAGTGCTGCTCTGACATTAACATCCTACATCCTACGTACATACATCTACATCTAGAGTAGAGGTCCCGGACTCCCAGCGGTTGGCTGAGCTGGGCTGATCACTGATAACCACGTTACGTGCGTATCTGTAGCTGGGCTGTGGGGATGTTGGCAATGTTGCAATGTTGGAGTTAGAGGCCGGTATCGGCAGGCGCGCGGCAGGTGTTACGTGCTCACTCACCGATCAGGCCGGCCGCTGGGTTTGGTGGGTTGGGTTGTTTGTGTTTTTCTCTTTGCGTGTTGCGTTTTGCACGGCAGGACTCAGGAGAAAGGGATGCGGCATCAATAGTGATAATGATAATGATACTAGTAAAATGTGAAGTAAAGTAAAGTAAAAGTACAATCGAAGATACGCCCCGCCCTCGTGGCTGTCCCGTCAAATCCTCCCATCCGATTCCTCCCCCTATCCTAATCCCAATGCCAATGCCAATCCTGTTTCCTCCCACAGCCCGTGCCAATCCTGTTTCCTCCCACAGCCCGTGCCAAACCCATCCACCATACTCCCATTCCAATTCAGTCATCCAATCCGTCATCAATCCGTCCCGCCCCAACCATCCCATCCATACCCAACGTGCCAAAACTCCATAAACCAAAGCCAAAGCCCAAACAAGTAACCGACAACCAAAAAGAAAAGTCTCAGAACCGACGCACATAACCACCCAAACAAACAAACAAAAGAAAATGTAAAGAAAATTGAACAAAAAAAGAGATTTAGAACAACGCGAGTAGATACAAAAGCGCCAACCCGGCTAGTCAGATCATCGTGATAGGCACGCCATTGACTCTCGTGCACAGGACGGGACTACCAATCCCAATCTCCGCGGGTGACGGCGGGAGAGTACTCGCGTTCTCTTGCTCATCCGCACCGCCTTCCCTTGCCTCTTCACGGGCGGGGGGGATATGCGAGCCGGGAAAGTCCGAGTAAGCGGACGTGGCGAGGGGAGAGCTTCCAAACGTTGCGCGGCGGCCGCGGGAAGTGGAGCGGGAACGCGGAGATGTCCCCGGGAGGTGCGTCATGATCTGTGGGAGCGCCATGAACTCGGGCGGGAGCGTGGGCGAGAAGAGCGGGCGCTGTGGGCGCTTGCTGAGAATGTTTGCGCCTGCGGAGATGGAGAGGGAGAGGCGTGGGGGCGCGGCGGGGCCCGTGGTGGCGGGCGTGGCGGGTGTGCGGGTTATCTTTGGGGGCAGGGGCGAGGGCGCCGCGTCCATCGATGCGAGGAAGAGCTCTTCGTCTGGCGTTGGGGCGGGGAGTGGTGGCAGGGGCTCCTGGTCGTCGCCGACGGCGACGGGAGTGTAGTCCTTCTCCGAAGCGGCAGAGACCGTGGCGGGAGGGGAGGGACACTGCTGGATACGCTCCTCCTCCCCCTCCTGATCCACCTCCCGCTCCTCCTCCTCTAGTTCGGCCTCCGACTCCGTTGCAGCCCTCCACTCCTCAGTCCTCATGCGCCTCCTCAGCTGCTCGACGGCGCGCAACTCCGCGCGGGCCCTCTTCTCGACGGCGACCAGCTCCGCCTCCAACCTTCTTTGCAACATGCCGTCCACTCTGGCCCTATCCTGCGCGGCGATCTCCTCCTCCGCCAACCTCAGCCTCGCATGGAGCGCCGCAATCTCAACCGGACTAGCCCTGCGCATATGCGCCTTCTGCGCCTGGACACGGAGGCGATCCCGCTGCGTCTGGAGGGCGGTGGGGAGGATGGGCGTCTGCACTAGGTGCGACAGCGTGGCCGCGTACATTTCCTGCAGCGCGAGCAGGAACGACTTCTCGTTCTCGGCGAGCGCCGAGTGCAGCGGCGCGAGTGCCGCGGGGTACGCCCTGCGTGTCTGCAGTAGTCGCGTTTGCGCGGCCAGCAGCTCCGCGTCGTGCGCGAGGAGCGTGTATAGCACGTCTGTGTCCACGACGTCGACTGTCGGCGGCGAGCTCGCGCGAGGAGGCGTAGGGACAGGGGCTGGGGTCGGCGGCGCGCTGTCGCAGAAGCCGGTCTGCGAGAGCGGCGGGGTGGGGGCGAAGGGGGGGAAGGCTCCCGCGCGGGAGATGGCGGATGCAGGGCTCCAGAGTTCCGGCCGGTGCTGCGAGTGCTCTACGGCAGGGCTGCCGAATGTCGGCGAGGCGAGACTGGGGCGGCGGCCAGTGGCCCCGGCGTGGTGCCGCTTGGGCTTTCCGCCGATCACAGGGGTGTTGGGCAGGGAGACTCCGGGAGGAGATGATGGTGCTTCCCGTGAGGCCCACATGCGTTGGTATTTTCCTGGACGGCCCGAGTGGGCAGAACGCGGGAAGGCCGAGTACTGCGGCGAGTCGTCGTCTTCCTCGTCCGAGGAGCACGGGGAAAAGACAGAGCCCGAGGATTCCCGGACAGCGGAGGAGTCGTCGAGGAAGGTGACGCCCATGACTGGCGGCTTGACGGCCAGCACTGGACGCGGGATGGCGCGAACCTGGGGCTGTGGTCGCGGAGAGCTGTTGAGCTTGGTCACCGGGACCGAGGACGCGATCGATGATGTGGGTGAGACGGGTGACATATTGTCGACTGTGGTCGTGGAAAAGGACGAGGCGGGTGCCAGGTAGGGAGAGTTACCGCGCGAGGCGGACATCTTGTTGGCTGTTGGGCTTTGCGATGATGAGCGGGAAGGCGGTGGGGAGAGCGGGAGGGACATTTGCAGGAGCGTAAGGTGTCTTTTTCTCTCTTTTTTTCTTCCCGAATGTGTATGTACGTCGCACTATATGCAACTTCCCTGACTTTAAGGGTGAATGGGAGAATGAATCTGCGAGGGGGGTTTATTGTTTAATTTGCGTTGATTGATTACAGCTGCAACGTCTGTTCGGTGGAGTGAATGGCGGTATTAACGAAAGGCGAAAGCGAAAATATTGAACGATTAGAGAAAATGTGGCGATCGTCTTCTGGTACCTGCCGGAAGAGCGCGTGTATTGGTGAAGATGAGTGGACTGAAGTTGAGTGTAATCTGTGTCGAGATTTGGCGATCAGGGACGTGCGAAGTAGATATACGACCAGCAGCAGGTGGGGTGGTGGTGAGGCCGGGTGCGTAGACAATCTTTAGCGCCTGGGTCAGCACCACTGCTTCATGCGCGGCACGGTTGTAGACAAACAACACCAACACGCCGCACCGCCGCCGCCACCGATCTGGCGGGGTATGTGGTAATCGTTGGAGTACGGTGAGAAGGAGAAGGAGAACAAGAAGAAGGAGGGATGCAAGCACTCACTATTCCCAAAGAGTGCGAAACAGCGCTGCCAGCTGCTATTCTACAGTATGGTACCGGTACGTACCGCGTGCAGCGTGCAGCGAGCCGCCGGAGAATGCGTTATGATCGAGGCTTGGAGAAATACGGTTGGTCAGGGCGGCCACTGTCAATCAGTCAATAGCCCCGCGTGCTTCTATCACTCTTCGCCGGTGCTATAGTACTATAGTAGATATCGTACAATAGGGCGACAACCGTCGTCGTTGGAATCGTCGGAATCAGGAGATGCAGGAGAAGAATGCAGTGGGAAGGGGTGAGGAATCGACCTGTCTGGCGTGAGTGGGGAAGAAGGAGAAAGAACAGCAGCAGTTCGCGGCGGGGATTATATGAAACGCTTTACAGAGGAAGAGGAGGAGAGAGAGATATGGAATGCCGCCTGCAACGCGTCCAATATCAGCCACGAGCCAACCACATCCCACGGCCGCCGCTGATGGATTGGCCGCGATAGTAAGGCCGACTGGCTATTGACTCTGCGGATCGATAGATTGAAACGTGGACGGCTGTCCAGCCATCGCCTAGCTTCGGATATCTTGCCCCTGGCCACTCCGCCCTTTCGCCTTCAGCTTATGGCGGTCGTGATTCGCCTCACTCGCTCGGCAGCGGTTTGATTGAAACCGACACATCGCGGCCACGAGTGGAGCGCCTCCGTGCAGATCCATCGCATCGCATCTGTCCGCTCGAATTTGCAGCGGTGCCACCGAGGTCCGGTCGGTCCGGAGTCGGAGCAGCGCAGCGAACGTGTACTTGGCTGCAGGCGGGAGAGGACTCAGTGCTCACTGGCTAGTGGTGACTGCTCAGAGGAGAACTGCATGTCTCTAAAATTAAACACGTCTCTCGGCGCACAGGAGAATATCCCGGGGCGGATTCTGTGCATGGCGATAGTACAGGGGCCGGAATCAGTCTTCTTGGGCGGGGATGTTGTACCTGGAGCGCTTTCTTTTGGCGACCAGGACTGGTCCGGGCGGTTAGCGGGGGTGGCGGGCGGTAAAGCTGCAATCCGCCGTGTGATTGGCTGCAGATGTGCTGGGAGTGGTTGGCCGGACTCGGAGTAACCAACTAGAGGCCAGCACATAAGGCATGCTCAATTCGAGACTCTTATGTTCGTTTACTAGCAGAGCACAGCGGAGCAGATTAGAGTGGAATAGACTCATTGAGTAGGAATTATGTACTTCGAAGTTGGCTGGATCTGGGCCGGATGTATTTTGAGCGACGAACGTTGAAGCCCCGGCCACAAGTGTAACGGCCATAAACGCTGCTAATTACCCCGTAATGGTCCTAAACACTGCTAATTACCCCGCATGCGGCAATGGACGTGGCATCACCCGATGCGGACCATTAGCTGCAATTATGTTGCTATGTTGGGAGGAGCCGACTCGATGTTTGCCGATGAAACGGTCCAATGCTTCAGACCGCACACTCTCTCCGCTTGCGACTGCGCATGTGGCTCTTGATGAAGCCATTTGCCCTCCAGACGTCATCTCGTCGTTCAACTCGCTGGCCATCCACTCGTACATAGCTGCTAGCCAGCCCCTCCGCCAGCTCGCTAAAATCGCCTCGTTTCGTCTTGCAGGCAAGAATAGCATCCATCCCCATGCCTTACTGAGATGCCGACCCACAGTGGCCGCAGAGAATGTGCTTCCGAGTGTTGAGGCCTTCCAATCTCGCGGGGCAGCGAGTGCAGATTTGCAATTCTGATACGCCTGCCCACCCAGCCCAGCGCGGGGCCGAAGAATCCCCCGCTAGCACATCCATCCACTCATCACTCGTGCCCTGGAAGGCTGCTGGGACTGGCATCTGATACCTGCGCCTGCTACTGGTCCAGGCGCCATATGGGCCTGCAGATGAAGCAGTTAACACCGCCGTCTCCCTCCTCTCCTTCATACTTCGTTTCGTTTTCTGTTCCTGTTCCTTTGTTTCCTACGTTCGCCTTTTTTTCTTCTCTTCTCTTCTTTTCCTGTATCTCCTTTTTTCCTTTGTAGGTTTTTTTCCTTACTTCTTTTCTTTACGGTTTCCTTATTGTTTACATTTCCTTCCGACGATCCTTCTGAAGATCCATTTATCTGCCACTTGAGGTCAGTAATAAAACATCCCGCTGTGCATGGAACGCCGCCTACGCACATAGGATTAAACATCTTCCGAGTTGGACTGACATTCATATCGTAGCTAGTCATCAAGCATACACTTCATAAACATCAAACCCACAACCACCACGAGCAGTTGACCTCTCGAACCACCGACTATATATACCTGACAGCGGTGTTGACCACCCATCACTCAATGCATTCATTCCAATCTCTCATCGCCTTCATCGTCCTACTTTCCTTAATCCTCACCAGCACAACCCACGCCTCCGCGATACCAGCACCCACTCCACGCAACACTCTCGTCCCGCGGCAGCTAATCTCGACCTCCGCGGCGTCGAACACATGCCAGGACTCGGGCAGCACGGCCTGCAACATCACCGGCGCGAGTTTCTGCTGCCCGGCCCAAACCGAGTGCATCCCATTAGAAAACAACACGGCAGTGATCTGCTGCAACGTCGACGAGATCTGCGCGGAGATCCACCCGATCGCATGTCCAGCCGTACAGGACTCGGCCAAGCCGCAGCCCACATGCGGCAGCGAATGTTGCCCCTTCGGCTTCGAGTGCGATCCCGCCGGGAATAAGTGCCTGATGAAGCAGGAGAACCTGCCAGAGAAGTACAAGGAGAGCGGGAAACCGGTGCCCAGCGCCGCACCGGTGGTGGGGGGTGGCGGCAGCGGCACGGATGAGGACGCAACGCCCGCACCCTCGTCGCCCAGTAACACCGCCACGCCGCTGCTCGGCGCGGAATCGGGCCGCAGCAGCGACTCCTCGTCGTGCGCGGACTTCCCCGCCAAGGCGATTGTCGTGGGCTTCTTCCCGGGGATGGTCGCGGGCGTCGCGCTGCTGCTGCTGTGGACTCGCCTGGTCGAGGCGCGCACCCGCCGCCGCTCGATAAAGTCCTTCGGCGCGTTCACTAACTTCCCGTCCGAAGCGAACTTGACCGAGAAGGCCTCGTCCGTGACGAAGAAGCCGAGCTTCCCGATCGGCTTTGTCGTGCAGCCGCCGACGATGCAGCAGCCCTCCGGCAGCAGCAACAACGGCAATGGAAGCAACAACAAGATGACCTACTCCCCCATGAGCGCCTCCTTCCGCTCTCCCAACCTCGGGCCGATAATCTTCCCGCTCTCGCCGCCGTCGCACGCCGCCACACCCAACACCGAGCACTTCACCCGCCTAGCCCCGCGCCCGGCCTCCCGGGAGCGCAGCGACCGCGAGCACGACCAGAACCGGGACTCCTACGCCGTGTCCGCGATCTCGATCGCCTACTCGGACAGCGCGCTGCCTCCGCCGGCGCCTTTGCACGTAGTTCACGCGCGGCACCCGAAGCGACACAGCGCCGAGACGGGATACAGTGCGAGCGTGTATAACGATGGGAACGAGAGCCGCCCGTTTGTTCTCGACACTAGGAATGAAGTCGCTATTCCCCCCATTCCGAAACCGGCGCCGCTGTTTTATCGTAAGTTTGGGGGCCCCATGCCGCGGCCGCCGGTGGTGGGGTGGGAGGGGGGGAGGGTTTGAAAATTTTGAAGGGGAATCTGCATAGCGATGGTTTTTCTGCATTGGTTGGTTTTGGTTTTGGTTTTGGTTTTGGTTTTGGTTTTGTATAGCGGCATAGCGTGGTTTTTTGTTTCTCTTCGTTTTTGTTTCTCTTCGTTTTTGTTTCTCTCCGGTTTCTTCGGCTGGCGTTTTGATTTCTCGTTCTCGTTCTTTTTCTTTCTGTTTCATTGCATTGCATCCCATCGTTCGAGTCTGGCACTTTTTTTTTTCCCGTTCACTGATTATCACTCCGACGAGCTCTCTTTACGCTTTCTACCTCCCTTCCTTCCCTTGCAAGTTGTTCTTTGGTACAGTCCGTACTTGTGCTGGACGCCATCCTGCTTTCTTGCGTACTCCTTACTTACTTATTCGTTACCGGTTTATCTTATTTTTCTTGGTCTATGGCGGTGGTGGTGGTGGTGGTGGTGGTAGTTTCGCACTCATTTGGCGGTCGGTGGAGATGGGGGCGGAGGTGGATGGAGTGTAGGGGTGGAGTGCGGAGGTGGTTTGTGAAGGTGGATGAAAGCACAGTGGGGTGGGGGCAGAGTGGAGGTAGGGACAGAGTGATGGGCTGTGCTGGATTGGCGGGTGTAGCTAAGTAACTAGAAACGAATGCTACCTAGTGAAGGGAATCATCAAATTGATTATTGACCCCGCGAGTCGCAATATCGAGTTCTTCCAAGCCTAGAAGCGTGATCCATCTCGCATGATCCATCCGAATATTACCCAGTACTTGTAGTGTTCGATGTGGCTTGCTCGCCCCCGAAGCTGCTACGGCTTCAGACTCACGCCGGTACGGCGGTAGGTGTATCAAAAGGAAGGAAAGTAAAAAAAAGTGCGGCCGCCGTTGTGGATCTTACTACCTACATATGTACCTACCTACATAATTCATCCGACCTGCTCTCATACTCAGACCATGTGACTTCCTATGACTCCAGCTCGGAAGTACCTTTCTGGCGGAGTGATATTCTGTGATCTGCCTTCTCACCTACTGTGAATAGCCTTACCACCATGCATGACCTTACCAACGCCCATTCACCGCGAACTCACGCTGCTACATTCTACAGGTCATCGATCACTTGGTATTCAAGTACACCTACTCATCTCATTTCATCTTGTCCCGTCCCGTTCTGTTGTGTCCTGTTGTGTCCTTCATGGGAAAGTGGTCTGACTCTGCACATTCAACACTCGCGCTCCATTCACTCTTCATCCTTACGTGCGCAACAACCGGCTTCTCACTCTTCATCCTCACGGCGTGTGCAACAATCGGCTTCACTCCCTTCATCCTCACAGAGTCACCACGGGCAACAATCGGCTTCACACTTCTTCACTTCTTCATTCCATCCATCATTCCCTCCATCCCCAAGAACTTCCCCGAGCAAGTAAATACAGAAAAATAACCACAGGAAATCCCACAGGAAATCCCACATCTGGCAACCAAAAACAACGGAATCAAGGGTATCAACGAAACGAGAAGTTAAAGAAAGGTACAAGAAGTAGTATGTAAGAAAGTAAAAGTCGCGCAGCACCCTATGCCGCCCTGCCGCCCCGCCTTCAGGCAGAAAATAAACAAAAAAAAGATGACCCAAAGCGAAAGCCAAAGACAAAAAACTCCGTAACCCGTGCTACCAACCAACAACCAACCACAAAGCACAAAGCAAAGAAAATAACCCCCTCAAAATGCACTCATCTCCAATAAACCGGCAAACCACCCTCAACGCCATCCAGATCCAGCACCATAGCGGCGGGCGCACTGCTACCCTCGCCGGGATCGACATCGAGTCCTGGCGGTAAACTCTCGTGCGCCAGAAGCCGCTGCCGTTCCCGCTCCGCCTTGTCCACCACTACCACCCCTCCTTCCTCGCCATTCCCGCTTTCTCCGTGCTCACTCGACTCATCCTCCAGAACCGTGGCTAAAGGCGCGGAAGCACCAGCGATCGCGACGTCCTCCATTGTTGGCTCCGACGGTGCAGCTTCCGGTGCCGACGGCAGTAGCGTGCTTTCCGACATGCGTAGTTGCGCTTTCGAATCCGTCGGCGGTTGGTGATTCGACTGTTGCCAGGCGGGATCGTATTCGGGGGCCTGCTGGGACGACGACGACGGCGGGGACTGCGGCGGCGGCGACGAAACCTCAGGACTCCGTAATGATGCGACACTCCGCCTCCTTCCACCGATGCTATCGGCCGGAACCGCGGTGATGGCATCGTTATCCGCCGCCATCGACACCGTCTTCGACAACCGCCCCTTCCTCCCGACGCTATCGACACTTCCAACGATCACCTCGAACTTGCAGCTGACCACGCTCCTTTCCCGCCGGCGCACGTGTTCCGTCTCGATCATGACGCCCCCCTCGACGCTGAGTACCCCGTTGCCTCCGCCGCCGCCGCTACCACCTCCGCCGCCAGCCTTCGAAAAGTCCGCCTCCACTCCTCCGGCCGGTCTCGGGAACCCCGGCACCACGGCCGAGAACAGGTCCTCGCGCCCGTTGAGCTTTCCGCCCAGATCCATCACCACCTCGACCCAGTACCTAAACTCGACCGCACCACCGGGGACATTCGTGATGGTGGGGAACACGTCCTCGGGCACCCTTAGGCTCGCCTTGACCTCGGCGGTGAGCGTTTCGGGATCGATGATGATGGGACATATGGTCTGGGCGAGATCCTTCCTGAAGGTGCTGGCCGCCGGCAGTACCGTCACCCCGTTCTTGCCCTTCTCCAGCGTGATGTCGTCGAGATCGCCAGCGGGGTCTAGCCGCGTCTGGCGCATCAACGTCAGTATGATGCCGTTCAGGCTCTTGACGCGTTTCGTGTGTTGTATCGAGATCTTTACACCGACGCTCTCGCCACGCAGCGCGCCCGCGTTCAGGAGCTCCACCGTCGCGGTGATGGGTGCCTTGTCGCGGACGGACTTTTCGCTGGGTGCTGTCAGGGTATCGTGGAGGTTTCCGACGGAACTCGACGGAGTGGAGGAGATGGTGGAGGGTGAGCAGGAGCGTGGGTGCGAAGACTTTTTCGAATTTCGGTGCGGATGTCGCGACACCGGCTCGAGCCTGATGACCCGGGGCTTCGGTAGGGGATATAGCGCGATATCGATCGTGTCCATCATCGAGATCTTGGCGCAAGATGTGCTGGTGGGGGTGACGCTATTCGGCCGTGTGATCGTCGCCGATACGGTGTAGGATATTGAGCCCTTCTCAAACTGGTAGTCCGGCCATCCAAGGTCAGCCCTGCGTTCTGTCGCCGAGTAAAAAGGGGGGGATGGGGGGTAGTAGTGGTAGTGGGAAGGGACGGGTATGTACATCTATGCTCGTCGGTAGACCGCCACCCAAGCCCGGGAGCTTGCAGAATTCCAGCTCGAAGCCAAACTTGTACACCCCCGGTTCCAGCCTGCCCTCCCCGCACAGCACCAGCTCGTCCCGACAGATGCTCAGGATGCCGCCGTCGGCGCCGTCCCCCGTCGCGGCGGCGGAATGTACCGCCCACTCGCTCTTGCCGCGTTTCCGGCCACTGGGCTCCCGCATTGACGTCTGCACGTCGACGCGACCGATTAGCGACACGGTGAGGTGGGTCAGTGGTAGAGGTCGCTCGACGGTGACGCACACGAAGCCGGCGACGAAATCAGTCGGGGAATAGACGCGGTGCGGATCGTTGAGTTGGACATGGAAGTCGGTTAGCGATCGGCGCGGCGATCGCAGGGAGAGCAGTGAGGTTTTCGACCGTATGCGACGAAGGAACGAGCGGGCCGACGGAGAGGAGGACGAAAATGTTGTAGCTGTCGACGCCATGGCTCGGTATCGGTTGGTGGGCAGGAGGAGGGTGGCTGCCAGGGGAGGATAAAGGAGTAGGAGGATGAGGAGCGATGAGGACTGGGAGGGGGGGTACTGGGTTGCCTCCAACCACGAGGGAGGTTTGGGCGATCGCGAGCCCCTCAGGCAGTGTCTAGGATTTTTTGTTCAATATATTGCGGGGATGTCTCCGTGAAGGCAGTTTCGGCGCCGAGAGGGAAGGGTAACACAGTCGATGGCAATGGTGGGGGAGGAGGTCGGGGAGGAGGTCGGCAACAAGTAACAGGTAGTAGATAGTAAGGAGCAGGGAGCAGGGTGGAGGAGTAGAAAGCCAAGAATGCTGTGAGTCGGGCACTCGCAATAAATGTGGCGGGCGGTAGAATTCAAGGTAGGATGGAGGGACAAAGTCTATGTGGATGTGGGGGGGGGGGGGGATGAAATCTATAGAGACGCGGCGTTAAAGTGGGAGGGAAGGAAGGAAGGAAGATGGGCGAGCTGGGGCCGGGAAAGCTAAGGGGTTCTCTGGGATTGCCCGGGGGTCGAGGGGGTAGTTATTTTTCGACCAGGGAGGTGGGGGTAGTGGCAGCGTCGCGAAAAGAGCTTCTTTTTTTTTCTCCTTGTTTCTACTGGGGATGTTGAAGATGACGACTGTCTCGGCCGATGCAGATAATTGCTTGATTGATGTTTTGAGATGCTTGGTATGTTCGGTCGGGGTGGGATTATTGTTGCAGGCAGAGTTGTGTGTGCCGAGAGAGCGTGCGGGTATAGATAGTACTAGGTAATAGTTCCAAGTGCCGCGCCGTTTACTTTGGCAGTCGATGGAGAAGTGGAGAGAGGGTGGTGAGGGTGGTGAGGGTGGTGAGGATTTGAGGGTGGTGAGGGTGGTGAGGATTTGAGGGTGGTCGGGAGTGAGGATTGGCTGGGTGGTTGAAGGGGGGGGGGGGATGATGAGCGGCTGACTGGGGGGTTGAGGGGGAGGGGGCTGAAGAAGATCGGAAGCGGGCGCCGGCAGTAGCGGATTGATATCGATGCAAGGAGGCGGAACTGTCGATGCTGCGACAGATGACAGGACGAGGGCAGGAGGAACGAGGAGGAGGCCGGGGAGAAAGGCGAGATGAATAGCCAGACGGCGTTCACGCTGACGATGGTTAACGGGCCACGCGGGAGATGGGGATGAAGAAGCGAGGTCGGAACGAGAGAAGAATGGGAATACAAGGAACGAGACAGGCAAAAAGTGCGCGGAGGAGAAGTACTCGGTAGCAATTAAAAAGGCACGGGGGGAATATAGTGGTGGTGATGATCCGAGGGAGAGTAGAGTAGTGGTGGTGTGTAGACTGTGGAGTGTATGGATCGAATCGAAAGCCAGAGCAGCACAGCTATTTTTCGTCGTCTCCCCTCACGAGCCGAATCGAGGTCTTGCGAGTAAGTGAGATGTATGTATCAGCCAGCCAGCGGCACAGCGCGAGAAGCGTGAGAAGCTTGAAAGTTGTGCGGTGGTGGTGGTGGTGGTGGTTTAGGAGATGCCTGCCCTGTTTGCGTATGCACGCTACGTTGTGGGGTGGAGTGTGTGGGTTGGTGTGTGGGTTGCCGCCAGTCCCAATCGACAGTAATCAATGTCTGTCACTGGAGGCCGAGGATCCAGAGAGCCGGGATGGAAGGGGGAGAGAAGGGGGGAAGATGATGGAGGAGTCTGTGTTCTCTCTCAGAGGAGATGGGAGGGAAAGAACGGAACACGACGAAACTGATGATGATGACGACGACGATGGTGGTGACAGTGATGACGATGATGATGGCAACACCGAAAAGTACTCGATCGGTGGTGGTGGTGAACCGACAGCCGAACCGAGTTGAACGATGGTGCTGATGAATCGGAATCGATGCACAGGGGGGGCAGCTGACTGAGGGAGCGGGGGTGCGACGGGAGGATATTCGATGTTCGGCGAGAAGTGCTCTCTACTCCGTCGAGTCGGTAGAGTATGCTTGCTCTGTTCCTTCGTCGAGTCGCCATGCAACCGCTGGAGCCGCCAACAAGTATCCCCTCACTCGGTCTATTCACGGGGGATTTCGCTTTACTTTGTTATTCGATCAGGGTGGACAACCATCCGAGACTGCAGGCAGAGTAGCGGCCGACGGTGTAGAAGGAGCAGTCTTTCTCGAAGCTCGAGCAGGTGTATCTCCAGGCTTCCACGATTCTGCACTTCCCCCTTCCCGACGATACCGATCGATAGTGATAGCGAAAGCGGTAGTTGACGATCGTTGTGGTGGTGGTGGAAACGACAATCGAGGCTGAGCAGAGTAATAATTTGCTCGGCGCGGCGCGAGGTATGTCCGTCTGGATGTAGAGTAGGCTTCGGACGCGTGGGAAAAAGCTTGTCCGTGTTCCAAGACGCTTGGCGGAGCGGACGGGTGGTGGGCGATGCTTGGCTCTTTAAGGCACCTGGCACACACACACCGAACCACGCTCGCCTCACCCTCACCGCTCTCGCTCTCCCGGCGCGGAGGAAACTCGGAAGGACGAGGAAGAGGGGGTCTCGTTAACCTGGAGGGCACGACTGCTGCTGCTGCTGCTGCTGCTGCTGCTGCTGCTGCGATCATCGAGAATCCCGACCATTCCCCATCCATCCATCCATCACCACCCATCCACACACACCGAATCCGAGTCCGAGTCCCATCATCCGCAAAGCAGAGCAGAGCAGAGCAGAACTGCACCTCGCCTGGATCAGCGAAACCTCGCGCGCACCAATGCGGCAGGTATGGCCCCCATGCACGATGCACGCGGCGCTGATTGGATGCGTTCGACCGATCGGGAGGGGCTAGGCCGCTTCCAGCGATGCGTGCAGTTATGGATGCAGATGCTCGGCCACACGGAACTTGGAAGGGAGAGCAGGGAGAGAGATGAGGGAGAAGTGCGTGAGAAGGTTGGGAGAGGGAGACGAGGAGGAGACAAAGAGGAGACGAGACGACGAGGAAACGAGTCCGAGGAAACGAGTCCGAGGAAAAAAGGCCGAACGTCGTCCGCTGATCTGAGAATCCGATCCGACGGATCGAACCGGCGACTAGGGTGACCATCGCCAGTGCTCGTGATGCCCCCCCTCTCTCCCATGCCTATCGACGCCTCCATCTCGGTCTCCGATCGCGTCTCCTTCCCCGAGACAATCCGACAGTCCAAAGCATGTCGCGCTCGCTCATCCCCGACAGTCCGACAGTCCGAAGCACCTCACACCCGCCCATCCCCGACATCATCAGAGCGAACATGGTCCAACCAACCAACCAGCCATCCCTAGCACAGTACAGTACGGTATCATACCGAGCGCCTCCTCGTTCGACGACCCAACACCCTATCTGCTCGCGCCAGATGTATAGTGCTCTACATAACTCAACTCATCACTCTTCCATCTCCTCCCTCCCCCTCCCCCTTCTCCCTTTCCTCCCCCCCCTCCCCCAGCGAACTGTCCCACACGCCCACATACTGCACACACGCACCGAGTAAACTCTGAGTAAACTCTTGCCAAAAGCCCACGGCAAATCTCTCTCCCTCCTCCTTCACAGCGTCCGCCCGCCCCCATCGAGCTCGTGCGCGCCGCGCAGCCAGTGCAGCCAGTGCTTCGAAATCAAGCTTTGCCAAGGGGCGTAAGCGCAGTTGCATTGCCTTTGCCTGCCTGCCGGCCTTTGCCTGACACAGAAAAAAACCCAAGCCAACCCGACACAAGCGATCCCGGCGAGCAGGTGGGAAGGAAGGGAAGGAACTCCCTGCACAGCGAGGATGAGGGGGGGGGGCCGCTGTTTCCGGACAGAATTAATTGCGGGCAATGGAGGGTGCGATAGATACGGAAAGAAATAAATGCAATGGAGAGTAGAGTAGAGTAGAGGTGGTACAATACATGCGGAGGAGCCTCCGTGTCTGTCCGACGTTGCGAGCGAGCTCGCTTTGAGCCTTTGAGCCTGTGAACCTTTGACGGCGTCGCAACGCGGTACATGGGGACTTATGTAAGTACTTACTCAGCCGGCCGGCGGCTTCACTCCAGAGTCGCGGCGGTTTGGTCGGACCAAAGTGCGAGGGCTGGCAGACCCGATGCGGTAGCTCAACGTTGAAATGTTGAACTGTTCTCTGGTGCTGCCTTTATGTTCGTCTACCCAGCCGGTCGGTTGGTCTCTTGTTTGATACATCAGACATTTATCGACACCGCAGACATTATTATCAACACTGCAGAGGTACTTTGAGGTTCATAGATCTGAATTGAATCAGTTCATCAGTTGCCCGTACCCGTTGAGGGTCTCTCAGTACCGGTGCGTTACTTACCCAAGTGTTGACCTAATTACGTACCGTACTGCCTGTCCACCGCCCACCGGTACGTCCGGCCAGCGGTCATCGGAAACGGCGCGGACAACGCAAAGCAGGATGATCACTCATCACTCTCACGGGCCCGCCCCCCTCCCCCCTTCCCCGTCATCATCAGCAGCATAACCCCCTCCCGCCGCCCCCATTCGGCCCAAAACGAATACGGCACGGTACCTACCCAGGCACGAGTAATACACAGGTACGGCCCTCGGATCCCGGCACGCAGCCTGTAACCACAGCCTGCACCAGCCAGCCAGCCTGTATGTACAGCCTGCCGGTCGTCGTATATGGCTAGTGCTGATGCTGATGCCGCCTGCGAAAAACGCTTGAAAATGCTTGTTTTTCCTCCCACCCCTTCCCACCAGTGCCCGAGTGCCCCCACCCCCCACCCAATCGGTTGGTTGACAGCGTCAGCAGCAGCCGGCCAGCGGCGGCCGTGCGTGAGTGCGTGCGATGGCGTCCACCCACCCACATTCACCGCTGACGGAGGAGTATGCATGTGCAGGAATGTCGGGTCGCCGACGGGGGTGACACGGGATTCGGCACGGCACGGTGGCTAGCCAGACAGACAGACAGACAGGGCGCCCGGCGACTGGATGGGGCGTAGGTAGAGTAATGGGTATTGAACCGCCCCCAAGGAATTGCTCGCTCGCTCTCGGTACGGACGGATGTGTGTGCGTTTTGTGTGACGCTCGCTCTCTGTGTGCTCTGCGAAGCGAGTACGTGAGTGCTTGTGTACTTGTGGCATGGTGTGGGCTGTGGGGTGTGGGAAGGAACGAAGACCCTCGAAGAGCCCGCGGTAAAATGTGGTCTGATTAAAGCGTGCGGCAGTTGAGCCTAAATGCTAAATGGACGGACGGACACGTTGAAACTTGAGGTGCTCCTTGTTCGTGGACGTAGTGTAGCGGGCTTCGAGTCGGGAATGACTCGTGGGAGGGGGGAGAGGAGGGAGAGAAGCCGAAAAGCGGCGAAGGCAAAGGAACGAACGAAGAAACCTTGACATAGTCATGGAAAATCACTCGCCTTACCCTGATCCTCATCGATCGACGGTTGGGAGACTATACTAAGCACCTATATCGTCCGCAGCTCCGTCTGTTTGCGTATGCAGGGAAGTGGAGGATTCGCTGCAGCTAGAGAACGAATTGATGAAGTATATAGCACTTCACAACACTTCACCGTTGAGGGGATGTCCAGCGCAGGCTCAGGCGCAGGCATGTGGACACTGGAACCATCCAGCCAGCCAGCCAGCATCGAACTGGGCTGGCGTGGGGGTACCTCGCGCGGGATCGGGGTCGGGGTCTGAGCATGATATGATATGATCATGGGTGCTGGGCGCTGCTGGTGTCGCGAACAAGTGTGATGAGTTGGCGGGGGGTGGGGCGGAGGCGCCAAACCAGGAGGATGAGATACCGCTGGGGAGCATGCTGGTGCTGCTGCTGCTGCTGCTGGAATCGACGGCTTGCGTGGAATTGGAATGCGACGTTTCAAGTGCTTGCGACAGACAGCTAGGCCGCGGTCATTCGGTCGTCGGTCTTCAATCGGACGGTCGGACCTCCCGGACCTCTCGGGCGGCACAAAAACACGTCGTGGCAGGAATAGTGAGCTGGACTGGACTGGATTGGGATTATGGGTTTATTGGCTCTGGCTCTGGCTCTGGGGAGGAAAAGCGTCACGGCATCGGTCGATACAATCGAAGGATGGGAGTGATCCTGTCGGTTTTCGTGGGGCGGGGGGAGGGGGACAGACGGTCTGGAGTTGACGTTCGCGACGCGGCGGAAACTGGAGGGTATCTCGGACGTTATAACTTATAAGTTTGCGAGAACGGATGAAAGTTCCGGCGGCGGCGGCGGCGGCGGCGGTGGTGGTGGTGGTGGTGGTGGTGGTGGTGGTGGGGGTGGTTTCAGTTCTCCTTCGCGGCGCCCGAAACTTGATATCTCCATAGATGGGCACTCGGTATCTTATCGCCAGTGCCCGTCGTGCCAAGTTTGGTATCCGATAACATAACGAATGCCATCTCGTGGCAGGCTGGTAGCGGGTTTCATGCCTGGTGCGATAACTAAGGTGCGCGGCTGTCGCAGAAGTGCATTTCGCTTTACACCTCCTCCACGCACTCGCTTCCCTTCTCGTTACTGACTGACTGACTGCTTTGCGCCTCGACATCCAGCATGACATACGACCATGGCAGCTGAGCGAGGAATACTCTAGAGGTTGGAAGTTGGGGGAGCATGAAAGGGAACGTTAGAGCTCTGCCATGCTGTTGGTTCCTTCATCCTACTCAAGTTCCATCAAAGCTGACGGATGCGCTGCACAAGAGCCCTGTACTCCATCCCACTCCCCACCACTACCACCACCACCACCACCACCACCACCACGATTACTACTACCGCCATCATGATTACTACCACCACCTCTACCTCCGCCACCACCACCCCCACCACCTCCACCACCTCCACCACCCCCACCACCACCACCAACCGAACCCTCCAGAAACGACCATCTCACCAAAGCTCCGGAAGGAGTAGAGTAAGTACGGAACTCGACGCATACATAATCTCACAATTCCTGCATGTGCGGGTCCTCGCGTATCGGAGATGAGCAAGACGACTATGTACAATACATACGAGGAGCAGGACGTACGGGAGCCGGGGAGGTGGACGGGTACCTACGTCAACTCTCACTCGACCGAGCCGCGCTGCGCCGACGTTGCAAAAGCATGGATGCGTGGATGCGTGGATGCGTGGAAGAAAAAACGCTCTTGCAGCTGGCCAGGCACTCTCTGCATCCGCGGGGTGCTTGCGGTTACGGGACGGGTGGGCGTAGTGTGTACTCCCTATTGCTACTAGCATCAGAGGGTCCGCGTTGAACCACCATCACCGTCATCACAATGATCATCCACCGACTGCTGCGTTGGCCTGCGGTGCTCGATGGCACAGTTTTGAGCTCAGTACGGTCCCGCAAAAGTGATGCTTACGGTTCGGATCGTCAGGCACGTCATGATGGTGATCACCGAGTGGCCTGATTTTTCCTCTGGGTCGTTGCACGGTACTGCGGTAACTAGGTGCGACGGAAAAACGTAAGGAGTCGCGCTCTACTATACTTCAGCTTGCAGAGGTCGTGTCCGCGGAACGAAACCCAGCTCGTCAAAGGGGTTGCTTGCGGTCGTTTGGGCGATATCGTAGTGACATATGCGGGCGTGTACAGACGGTTTGAAATGAGTACTTTTCTGCTGCAGGTACGAGTGCTGACTGTTGCCAGTTGTTTCGACCTGCCCTCTCCCACGAACGCAAGGGCTGTCGACATCTCGTCTCATCCGCGAGTTAGAATCTTCTCCCGCACGTTTGTTGCTGCTGCGGGAGCCCGTCGTGGCCGTGCCTGGATCAGGACAACCTCATTTGCGGCCCGTCTTTACGTCGCCGCGAGACCTTCCGATGAATTGATGCAGATAGCTACGCTTATCGTGTCGCACTATCGGTCCCCTCGAGTGACACACGATGCCCACGCCTCCTCCATAAAGCTCCCATCCATCCGCCTACTCATCAGCATCCTCCGATATAGCCACCGCTACCATCGAGCTCGCCTTTTCCCTCAACATCTAGTTCTAGTTGCTCTTTTATTTTTTCACTTTCATTCAAGACGCTCGTTAACCGGTGCATCACTATGCGTTCCCTCACGTTCCCTCTCCTGTTCGCTGCCCTTCCCTCGTTGACGACGGCGCTGCGCTACGAGCCACGCGGGAATTACTATTACCCCGGGAACGTGACCTACGCACCCGGGCCCACCGCGCCGCCGATCGCCTCGCCGACCTGCTACACCACGAAATACCCCGCCATCTGCGATTACGGGCTCTGCGAGAGCACCTACTCGTGGACCGAGTACTGCGGCCCCTACGGCTGCGAGCCGCCATCGACGGCGACGTCCTACCTGCCGCCCGGCTTCACCACGACTGTCACGCTGTGCCAGCACTGTGGCTACGAGGTGACCACACTGACGCTCACCATCCCCGTCACCGCGATCCCGGAGCCGTACCCGACCCAGGTCGAGCCGCCGTACACCTACATCTGCGAGGACGACGACCACGACGACTACTGCGGCAACCCGCCGCACCCCCCCTCGGCCACCCACGGCGACTGCGCCGGCGAGTACTGCCCGCCAGCGCCCACGTACTACCCCCCCCGGCTGCGGCGAAAACGAGGACTGCATACCGGAGATAGTCCCCACCACGTACTGTGACGACGGGTACTGCGGCGAGCCCTCGCCCTCGCCCACGTCCACGCCCACGACCGGCGAGCCCGAGCAACCGGAACACTGCCACGGCGCATACTGCCCCCCGCCGGAGCAGACATATCCCATCCACTGCGAGGGCGACGCGTACTGCCCCCCCGAGCCTACGGCTAGCGACGCCCCCGGCTGCGGTGGCGCCTACTGTCCCGACGAGCCGGAGCCGAACGAGAGTAACTCTGCCGTGCCCGAGCTGCCGACGTACACGGGCGCTGCTACTGCGCCCGCTCGGAATGTCGGGCGTGTTTTTGCCGTGGTGGCGGCGGGGGTGGCGGCTGTTCTGGTCTAGTGTGCCTTGTCGGAGGGGGGAAGTGGGTATACAGCAGGGGTAATTGGTACGGAGGGGGCGTTTGTTTCGGTGGGCTTTTGGTCATGTGTTCTTTATATTCTTGGAGCTGCTCTCGCGGGGTCCGGTGCCTATAATCTACCTAGCTCTTTGTCGATCTCGCCCGTAATAAAGTTGATTGTTGATGTGAAGATGGAAATTGGGATCGCGTTCAACCTTCGGACATGTTACATTGTGTGCGCTTGCGCCTGCGGCGTGATGAGGTGGTGCAGTGGTATCGCTGCCTTACATTCCAAAGACATGACCAGCGGACGGAAGTTGCATTCCAAGTAGAAGCTTGGAACTCAATTATCGCAAGACTGTCGCCACCGCGCAAAGGAAATGACCTTATTAGACGTATGTAACTGTCCATTCCCGCAGCTTTCGCCCCCCTTCCCGTTCAGCAAACCGAGTGATACCCCAAGCCACCACCCAACACCCACCACCCACCGCGCCCGTCGGCAAATCACCGACGCGACCTCGCATCTTCACGCCGTGCGGAATTCTCCATGAGCTTTAACTATCCTACTCTACTCTACGGAGTAACTAACGGTACTCCAGAGTATGTATAGTGATCACCAGAGAACCCCCTGTTTCAGACCCTTTCGGCGACATAAGCGCGCGCATGCGGGATTAGGTACCTGGCTGGTGGTAGCTCATGCACCCCGCATTCCGTGCGTGCATGCTCCGACTCTCCGAACCTACAACAAGCACGCCGCCGCATACCATACCGTGCATTGATTGATTGAGTGAGAGATCTGTCATTTGGTGACGTGTATGTGCGTGTGTGTAGGAGTTCCAATTTTGATTGTCTTGTTTTGTTTGTTCTGGTTGTCGTTGTTTTCTTTTCTTCTCCTTTCTTTTCTTCTCCGAGATGGATTGAGCTGAACAACGCTGCGTCCCTGCGTCGATGCGCGCATTCTCGCGGCGGCGAAAATAAAATCTGATAATCTAACGGTTTGGTGCAACCGTCGGTGGGATTGGATTGCTTCGGGCATTGGTGGGTACCAGCGGCTGGGAATCACGAGCGGTTCTTACTTCTAAGTTCTTTGCGCGCAGCTCTAGGTACTTCCAAGTTCTAAGTCCCAAGTGAAGTTCCGATTGCAGGCAGAGTGGAAGCGAGTCTTCGCCCCCCTCTCCCCCGAGTGATTACGGCGGAGACTCGAGAGTGCGGGTCGCGGAGAAGAGCGGACTTGATGGATCGCAGCAATTGAGCGGAAAGCTGTGAACCTCAGAGATCAGGGTCTTGATGATTATTCTGCCTAGGTAGTTATGCCAGCGAGTGCGGGTCGCGGAGAACAGCGGAGTTGGGATGAATCACAGTATTGGAGCTGACAGTTCAAAGTTCAAAGATCAGGGCTTAATGATTGTTCCGGCTATGCTAGTGGTACGATGCTATGGGTGACAAAAGAAATATGCAAAAACGAATGTATGAAAAACGCTGGACAAAACAGGACGCAAGCAGAAGCAAAAGTAGAAGCAGACAACACCGAACCCAGAAAGACAGAAAGACAGAATGCACGCACGCACGCTCGCAGGCAAGCAAACCCGCTGACCAGCAACAAACGACAACAGGCACCAACAGTAACAGTAACAGTAACAATCGCATCAACATCAACATCAATCATAATCGTATCTGCATCATAAACCTCACTCTACCAATGCCTCTCCCTGCGGGCCTCCAAATCATCATTGACAGTGTAAGCGCGCATGCGGCCCTCGCGGCCACTGCGCCTTGCCTTCTCGACGACCAGGGTGTCGGTATCCTTATACTCGCGCTCGCGCTCGCGGACGGAGCCGGCGCGCTGGCGACCGCGGTGCTCGCTGACGTGGTAGCTCGCGCCGCGGCTGGAGACGTACTCGACATAGCGGTCGGGGTTGACGGCGGGCGCGGGGACCGGCGCCGTCGAGTACTCGTTCTTGTCGGCGAAGCGGACGGACTTGCCGGATGTGGAGGAGGAGCGCGAGGAGCAGGAGGAGGGCGAGGCGGAGCGAGTGGAGGGCGGGGACAGAGAGCGCTGAGAGGACGCGAGCGATGAGGACCGGCTGTGGTGGCTGGCGTTGCTGGAGCTGCGGCTGTGTCCCGACGAGTGTCGGTAGTACATGTCGGCGTCTGAGGCGTGTCGCGAGTGTCGGTGGATGTCCTCGTAGCTGTCGAAGCGGATGGTCGGCGGCGGGGCGTTGATGATCACTGGGTGCCGTGGGTAAGAGGTCGGCGCCGAGTAGCCCATGACCGGGTGCGAGGTGGGAGGGGTGCTCCTCTCGGGGACGACCGGGGGGCGGATGGGAAGGTGGTGGTAGTTCGAGAAGGAAGGAGGGGGAGAGACGGAGGGAGTGCGGTTCTGGGTGAGGTAGACGCGGGACATGTTGAGAGGCGGGAGTGGTTTTTTTGGTGATTGAAGGTTTTTGTCTTGTTGTGATGTGATGTAGGATTACTGAATGGCCTTTATCGAATATTTGCTGGTGAGGCGGGATGAAGGATAGAAGATTCGTTTGACGGTAGTAGATTGGTTGATGAAAGGCACAGCCTAAGCAAATCCTGTTAGCTGGATGTTCTCTCTCGATGGGGGTTCGCACCGGCTACGTACCTGTAGAGAGTTTGAAATGAGAATGAGAATAAGAAAGAAGTTGATTAGAAATTGTATCGAGAAGGCCCTAATCCAGAGGGAATGAAGTGAAAATGCAAGAAGAAGAAGAAGAAGAAGAAGAAGAAGAGAAGAGAAGAGAAGCTGTCAAAGTTGTTTGGTCTGGAGAAAGAAAAGGAGGATGACTTCGGTCGGATCGTGTTGTCTTTATACAGATAGTCCAGGCCAGCTGGTAGCCATTCGCGCGGTGCTAAAGCGATGGATTCTAAGAACAAACTCCACCGTCATCGCGTGAGGCAAACCCGAGGATACGGATAGGCATTGGAATGGCAGTACTAAACCGCGGGATAACCATTGTGAAACGAGAGATGTACAATTCCACGGGGGGAAATTAACGACCCCCCGCCTCTATTCCCCTTGACGAGTGGTGTTTGGGAGTGCAGCGTGTATTCCTGTACGTACTTTGGAATGTCTGTTGTTAAGAATAGACATTAACGGCCAGCCCCTCGTCGCTCGACGTTACGATAGGCGCCACGCAGGCCTGCCACTCCACCGACTACACGCCACCTGTAGCCCCCCGTCTATTGTCTTAATTAGCCACACTTGGTGCCCTCGGCTTGGACGGGTGTTTGTGTGGTACCTGCATGAGCCGGATCCCTCTCGGGCCAAGCGGCGGCGATTGGATCCAGCCGGCAGCGCCAAACGGTTGTGGCCCAACCTCCAAGTAGTTGGGTTAGCGCGCTTCGTCTCTGCCAGTTTCGATAGCGTCGGATAGTGGGCTCTATTTTCTGCTCGCCAGCGCCTATTTCCCCGGCCTTTCACTTCCGCGGCCCCCTAGGTCGCTCCGGAAACTCCGACCCCTGACGATCGTCGTCAGGCAAACAACCCTAGCCCTGCCGCAGCAAAACGGAGACTCAGGGGGGCGGGGAGGGAGGACCGCGGACAGCAAACGCCCGAGCGAAAAAACTGAGCGGCTGAAAAGAAAAAAGCCGCAGCAGCAAAGTCGACGGTTTTCCAGTGTGGTACAGACACCTGTTCACGCACACTTTTCTGTTCTGCTAATATGATAGGTGACTACTAGTAGAGTACTCTAGCACGGCCTGATCGAACAGCTGTCGGCTGGCTGTGTGGACGACATTGCAAGGCGACCAACAGATTGTTTAGCAATCGGATGTCGGGCGCTGCAAAGCCAGTTAGTGACCATGGCCATCTCGTTATGTATACCAGTAGTACGTCTCCAAAGGAAATGTGAAAACTATTGAGTGGAGGTTTGACGGCCCGAGCCGCTCGAGCGCAATGGCATAGTGCGCGTAGCGGGAACGGCCCAAACTATAGTAGTAGCACTAGTAACTCCTGGTATATACTCTGCTCCATATTACGGTCTGCCTCGTCGGGTTGCCTTCAGGTCGCTCCCTTCGCTGGCGGACTCTGGCCGGGAATATCCTAACTCGACGTCGTGATGTTTGCATCGCAGCCTCCAAAGACACGACACCGAGGTATGCATACATGCGATGGGGGGAAAGAGGGGACACTCCACTCTACTCTAGCTACGACGAAGAATTGCGAACACGGGCCGCCATCGAGCGCTACTCTACTATTTCCAATGCGCCTGGGCTCCGCGCTGGCCCCCAGTCGAGACGAATCGCTCGGAAAGCACATCGACTTTTTTGTTTGCTGTCAACAACAATAACTCGGGGTTTGGCGGCGGAGACGATGATAGGTGCGTCTAGATCTGAAGAGGGCGGACGACTGCCACAATGTTCTAGATAGACATGAAGCCTGGCACTGCATCTCCACGATAAGGACACGTCGCGAGGAGGAACGAGTCTTTCCGTGTGTGTGTGGACTCGTCACGATGATGGATTCGGAACAGGACCGAGTGACGGGCTGCGGATGGCGCACGCGTCACGTGACCAGATTCACTCGCTCGCTTATTCGCGCTTCCACTTGTCGCCATGCACCTTGATGGGCTCGCTGGGAAGGAGGCTGGCAGCCTCGGACTCGAGAAGTGTCCGTGCATCCCGCGCAGCGCATCCCTCGCAGAGATTTTGCGAAGCCTCCAGCTATCAGGCCAGGCTGCCGAGTCTAAGTTATCGCGGCAGCCCTCGTTCCGGCCGCGAAGCTAGAGGAAAGAAAAAAAACAAAGCCTCTCATGATGTTGTGAGCCGACGGAATCGGTGCAAGCGGCGGGAGGTGGTGATCCGGGACCGGGGTCAACCACCAAGAACCCCACCTGTTGTCTGCCACCACCATGTGAGGAGCGATGCGTAGGATAGATGGCAGATTAGATAAGATAGAAGTAGGGGCTAGGTAGTCGGATCGGTGGATCCAAATGGTGGCGACAGCCGAACTAGCCGGATTGGATGGCACCGAACGTTGTGGGCAACGGACGAGAGCCATGTGGGACGGCTCTTCGAAGATGAGAACCTGAGAACCTCAACTTCTCCATCATCCTTTCTCTCGGCGTTTCCCTTCCAAGGATACGTCATACCGGTAGTTAGTTACCCTACCAACCACCTATCCTACGCTACCTATTCTACGCTCCCACTCGAGGTAAGCATCCATCGTTCCTAACGCTTACCGCAGTCGAATCGAGTTGCTGAGGAGTGAAGGAACAGCGACGGCATGGGCTCTAACTACCCCCAAGACTCACCACCGACACTCGAGGGAGCTCTTGCTCCGCGCGCGTACCTACCGTATCGTATGAACCGAAACACGCAAAGAAGGTGTGTACCGATACATACTCTGGGCAATCTATCACGACACTTGCGATGCTTGGGGGAAACGAAATCCGGATTCCAGCATATCCCGCACGACCTTCTGCGCAGCTGCGGGAGCGGCCGATCCGTGGGCTGTGCGATGCAGTGCTATACCTATCACAGCACATGGCTAGGAATGACCGACCCACAGGCGCAGAGAAGAAGAAGAAGAAGAAGGAAACTTTTCCTGTTGGCCGCTCACGGCACAGTCGCATGATGCATCACGATGGTCAGCCCGTGGCGACCACTTCCATGTCCAAGAGACAGATGCTTCACTTGGTCGCAGAGAAGCGTCCAGAAAACAGCACCACTTGGGCTGGGGGCCGCTACGATGCCGTCATCGCGCAGTTGCACGGGTTGGAACCGACCCAACAAGCCTATGGAGGTGGGTGTGTGAGCTGTCATCATGGCTGAGACCGAAGGAAGAGAGATTGCCCTCTCCCCCCAAGACTCTCTCTCGATCTCTCTCCCCGCGGGTTCCTCTGTCCGCCCGCCCGCTCTGCTTCGGTGACTTCTCTCTCTTCTTTGGTGCCTTCTTTCTCTCTCCTCTCTCTCTCTCTCCGTCTCTCTTTTCTCTCTCTCTTGTCTACTCTGGCTTTGAGGCGATGGGGCCCGCACCGGTCTTTGCCGCGATGGCGGGGTACGCAGACACTTTTTAATTTTACCCAGAATCGTACAGGGAATCCTGGTCGAGTGGGTGTGTGTTGGCAAATCTGAATCCTCGGGACAGACGCTTATTGGTCTACCTATGCCCTCTCCCTGCTGATGGAGATGCACACTCTGCAAATGATGACGCCCATCCTCATTTTATTCACCCTCACCCACGTCTATGGACGCGACGGGCAACACCTTATCTGTGAGGTCGTCATTTTTCTTTTATTTTTTCGCCGAAAAGAAGCAAAGAACGGGCATCTTAACGTGGGATGCGGTAGTGGCCAGGCCTTCGGTGGACTCTTCGGCCCTACACACCGTAAAAGAGAAGCAATTCAGCTCCAGTTACCGAGTTAGCTTCCGAGAGTCGCAACAAGAAGGAGAATTATTACATCACACTTTCTGCGAACACGATCGTTGGCATCGTGCGAACATGAGGAAGGAAGGAAGCACTGGTGATGATGGGTTGTGGAGAGAGGGGGAGGAATGAATGAGGTGGATAATCAGCTCAACGTCTCTCAATACCTACCTACCTACCGTGCGCTGGTGGGGGGAGGGGGCTGTTGGTCTTGGAGCATGTCAGCCAACTAGCTATGTACCGCATCTTCAGAGCGGGGGGAATCCTTCCACTTCCCCTCGAAACGGGTATAAACCACGCCAGCCTTCGTTGGCAGCATGTAGGATTTGGCGCGGTTCTCCACCCTGGATACGAGCAACTCCCAAGATCATCGCCAACAGAAACTACCAAAGACGGCTCTAGTTTACCACAGCCACTGCAACTATATACCAAGCATACAACTCCATTCCTCACCCTTGACCGGCTTGAAACTGCGGTAAGACCAGCCAAGCGATCTGCAGATACATATAAACCGACATTCCCGTTTCTCACAGATCATACTAGTAGGCTTCTTGTTCATCCCGCCCGAAAGGCCCAGCACCTCTGAGACTCATACGTCTCTTCTTCTCCTCGTACCGACCCCCCATTGCGTGGATTACCTATATACTTTCTGTTCTTTACTTCGCACACCGAACGCCCTCTTCAATCCCGTTTTCTCAAACCACAGACACACACATACGAGGCCTACATATTTTTTTTCTTCTTGCCGGCCGACTTAGATACCCTTGTTTGACTTTGCATAACTGGCCCGAAAACGCCCGGAAGGACTCAAGTTTAGCCATCATCCGAGGAAAGGAAGGATCAAAACAACTGCACCTCCCGTATTGCACCCGTATTGCGCCTAGGATACCCATTGGATTTTGCCCTATAACCCACCGGACACGGACACGGACACGGACATTTCAAGGAAAACTTCAAGGGACCATTTGGAAGGACCATCCCCGCGCGCTAAGGAACTCAACTACATACCACATCTTTAGGAAAATGGATACTACCACCAGAGCCATGGGACCGCCCACCAGAGGCTTCAGGAACGCCTATACTCACGCACCCCAGGGCATCAATCAGTATTACTACGGCCAGAATACTGTTACCTACGATAACCAGATGCGGTAGGCTAAATCATCGCCGTGCCGATTGACCGGCACGGCGCCACGCGCATGTATGCTGATTGGTTCGTCTTTTACAGCCTCGACATCCAACAGCAACAGCATCAGCAGCAGCTTCATCAGCAGCAGCAGCAACAGCAACAGCAACAGCAGCGCGGCCCGCAGAATGCCGGCTACCACGGCTACCAGCAGCCTTATCCGGTTTATAGCAATTATTACACCACCTCAACTCCGGAATCGCCCGTTGCACCGAGCGTTCCATCGCATGGACGTGCCAGGGCAAGGTATGTATCCCACAATCCTTCCGACCGGCGAGGGAGAGAGAGGGGGAGAGGGAGAGCCCTTGTACTGACCGTTCCCCGCAGCTCGAGGTCCTCGGGGTCATCGGGCGATAGTGCAACATCGCCCATGCACGATGGCGGTAGCTCAGACTTCGAAGTGGACGGTGGTGTTGGTAGCAACGCCGTCGCTACCGCTGCCGCCGCCGCCAGGACGATCAAACAGGCCAAAAATGGATACCCCTTCCCCGGATATACTCCGGCGGAGGCGCTAGTGGCCGTTGCCTATGCGGAATCCTGTTCCGGGGATACCATGGTTAACGGAGCTGGTGAGGACCTTTCGCAGAGTCTTGACAGCCAGAGGGGCCAATACAAGGTGGGAGTGCCCAGGACCACCCCCGGCCAGGACACCAATGGCAGCCGGTCCAAGCGGCGACCCAGCAACCAGGGAATTGAAGGACAGTCCCGTAACCGCAAGTCGTACAAACAGGATACCTATGTTCTCCGCGTGCTGGAGGAGGACGAGCAGGAGGGCGGGGATGATGGCGAGGAGGGACCGCTCGATCTGTATTCCGAAGAGACGCCCCTCTCGACCCTCCAGCACGACGAGTATAAGGAGATATTTGCGTCGCTCAACGATCTCTTCTGCCGGACCTCGTACCGCTGGTTGGCACAGTACAAGTTCAGGATTCCAAGGAAGCGATACATGAAGGAGCACACTTCGCCCTTTGACCGGGAACTGACCGAGTACGTGCAAATCATCAAGAACCTGGTGGAAGGCCGAGAGGTTCCGAGACATGCCGTCTCGGACGAGCGTCTGAACGAGCTGGTCTCGGTGATGGAGGGTGCTTCCGAGATCCGACACGTCAACATTCACGTGTCGCGGAAGCACAAGCCGGACCGAAGGGTTCTCGGGTTCATCGCCGCCGTCAATGAGTTTTGCTGGATACTGCGGGACAGCAAAGGCGCCATGGAGACTAACCAGATGTATGCCCGAGTTGAGGACCTGATCTTGAGGAACAGAAGGAGATTTTCCGAGGACCGAGGAAAGGACTCTTCCCGCCGAGGCACCCCGGAGTAGAAGGACCCCCCACACCCCCCTCACCTCCGCCTCCGTGAGACGGATTTGGAATGGATGCCATTAGATGTTTTTCCATCATCCGAGAGGAGTCACTTGGGATTGGAGTCCGACATACCTAACCCCCGGAAGGAAGGCCAGCCAGGATGGACCGTATCCTTTGCCCGGATTTGATAAGATTTGAGAGCCACACCGGAAGGACCCCAGGAAGGACCAAAAGTTTTTGTTTTTTGTTTTCCTTTTCTTTCTTTCACGTTTTCGGTTTCGGTTTTCATTTTTTCATTTTTTATGTCCTCTTTTGCGTTTGATTTTCGTTTTCATTTGGGTTAGAGCATTGGGAGGGTGGGATGTTGGGAGGACTATTCGTTTACTGGTCGGAGTTGGGGGTGTTCTCGGACCGGGTTTTGTCTTGCGTTTATCAAGCACCCAGGAATTTGGATATGTGGAACAGACTTTTACATGCATCTTCTAGGGCGGGTTTATTCTCTAGGTATTACTGTTGGGATAGGAATGGCTGGATACTATCACTCGTTGGTAGGACTGTACGGACGCGGAGGTATCAAGGCGCCAGAAACGCTCCGCGGGGCCGAGGGGAGGGGGAGGGAGGGTTGTGGATGTTGGGGAACGGAAGGAAGAGGAATGGTGGGGGGGGTTTCTGTTGATGGTAGGGAGGGAGGGATTGACTCGTCACGACGAGTACCGGTATTTCTTAATCTGGCTTCAGCGTTTTGTTTTTCTTTCCTTCATTTCCTTGACGACCATTGTATCCACAGGCACTCCCATCATACGTGCGCACTGCTACCTACTCTAGAACGTTGCTGCTGCTATTGCTGCTGCTTCCCACTGCCGAAAAAAAACAAAATAAACCACAGACTCCCGGGTGAGTGCATTTCCCGCACCCAACCTTCTTAAAAAAAACTCTTCCCTTCACCGCTGCAGCAGTGCTTCACACTTGCGCACATATGTACCAGGTCAGCAGCAAGCAAGGCGGCCTTGGCTGCCGCACACCGCACACCGCATGATGCGTCGCAAGTGTGATTCTCTTCGAAAGGAGGAGGAGCTATCGCACATGCCGAGTCCGGGTCCCTCCACGCTGTGCCGCAACGAGGCTTTGGAGAACGCGGATACCACCGTACCATATTGGCATGCAAGAACTGTCGGATCGTTGACCCACGGGGCACCGGCTTCCCAACCCCCCGCATCATGATGGATCATGCAGCATCACTCGGCGTTTCACCTAGTTCCTCGGTGCTCACAGGCCGTTTGCGATAATACCGGTACCGACATTGATAACGAGGACGAAACATTGGTCTATTACTTCTACAGTACATCGACTGTTTCGTTTTCCACCATTCTATTCCGTCTTTGAAAATTTTCCGATCATGGTAAAAATAGAGGGTACATCCGACCCCCGACTTCCCTCTCAGCTTCACCAAGTGATTCAATCCTCTAAAAGTAAACACCTCAGCCCCCATCGCCAATCAATCAACCTGACAAGAAACAGTTACAAAAGTAAAACTTCTAACGCAGAAACAAACTCCAGAGGCAAACATGCCACTGCACAGCAAGCACACGCCGATTCAACAATTTCGCCCCGAAAACAAGGGCGGAGCCGCAGACACCGCGATCAAGAAAACATTACTGAAAGGAATGAAGGAAGCGGATTAACAAGATGAACCCAGAAGCGAAAAGAATGATGAAAAAACCACCCAGAAGCAAACCTAATCCACCGATGACACGACCTTCGCGAATCAGTACGCCGCGAGCACCTGCCTACCACCATCTTGCTCCACGACCCGACCAAACAGACCGAGTAGTTCCTTTCTAGTCAGCCTTCCAAGCGCCATCCGTCCTTCGCCGAGCGCGGCTTTTGCGATGAGCATTTTCCGTTTCTGGAGCGCCAACATCCTCTCTTCAACAGTGTCCTTGACGATGCAGCGAGTAACAAAGACCTCCTTCTTCTGGCCCAATCGATGCACTCTATCGAAGGCCTGTAGCTCGACGGCGGCGTTCCACCAGAGATCGATGCAGATCACGAGGTTGGCGTGAGTAAGATTGAGTCCCACTCCACCCGCCTTGATTGATATCAGGATCAGGTTGCATTCTGGCTCCGTGCGGAAGAGGCCGAGAGCTTCGTCGCGCTCCTCGACGCTCATGGATCCATCGTATCGAACGTACATCTGGTCTGGCTCTTCGTTCTCGAAAACCCTCTCGATGATGTCCAGCATTTTGGTAAACTGGGAGAAGAGAACGATTTTGTCGCCGGGGTGGTTGAGTCTCCACTCTGCCAGTTGTTTCCTGAGCAACGTCGTCTTGGTGCTTGGCATCATTAAAATATTCGGGTTGTTGAGCCAGTTCAGCTCGTCTACTCCCCCATCACCCCTATCGCCAGGGAGAATGTCTTCTTCCTTTAGCATCGTTCCACATCTACCGTCGTTGAAGGGGCAGAGAGGGCTGAAGCTGAGGGAATCCATCAGGCACTCCCGGCAAAACTGGTGTTTGCACCGCCTTGTCTTGACGGGGTCTTCGATCGGATTGGAACAAATCGGGCTGTGACGATAATCCGAATTAGCATATACATGATGTGGAGACGACACCCCGACCGTATCCTTTCACATCACGATTCCACCGACAAAGAAGCAAGGAGAGTCAGGAAGGGTACAGCGAAAACCCACCAGAGCTCGTTCTCAGAGGCTTGTCCGTCCAGTTTGATGCCCTGAAGTGCGCGATGAAGCAGCGCCAGGGGCTCATTCGCTACATTCGCACCTCCGGGAGCTGCCGCAGACTTCCTCTTAGGGTGCCTCCTGCCCGACTCGCCGTCTGAGAGCTCGAGCTTATGCTGAGCCATGGGTTTGGTATCTTGCTCGTCCGGCTCGTTCTTGGTGCCCTCGTCCGGCTCGTTCTTGGTGCCCTCGTCCGGCTCGTTCTTGGTGCCCTCGTCCGGCTCGTTCTTGGTGCCCTCGTCCGGCTCGTTCTTGGTGCCCTCGTACCCGAAACCTGCAGAGTTCTCGCGCTTCAAATTGCTGTCCTCGACACCTCTGGAATTCTCGCGCTTCACCTTCCTGTCCTCGACACCTGCAGAATACTCGCGCTTCACATTCCTGTCCTCGAAACCTCTAGAATGCTCGGGCTTCACCTTCCTGTCCTCGGCATCTCCAGATTGCTCGGGCTTCACCTTCCTGTCCTCGGCATCTCCAGATTGCTCGGGCTTCACCTTCCTGTCCTCGACATCTCCATATTGCTCGCGCTTCACGTCACTGTCCGACACATCAGACTTTTCGTCTTCGTCATCTTCTGCTATGTGGAACCTTTTCCTTACAAGGGCTGCGCTGAGCGGGTTGGCGTCGGTGTCGTTACCGCTGGCGCCCACTAGTTACATCAGTCGTTAGCCCACCATAGCAATACTCAGAGTCAGGAGAAGTACAAACTTACAGACTAGATACGGGTGATCGCACATTTGCCGGAGCCTGAGCAACATCGTCAAGATGGCGAATTCTTTCATCTCTTTGCCTTCTCGCATGTACTTGTTGATCCTGTCGATCGAGTGGAGTTCGACCGCCTTGTAGAGCGCCCTCTCGTCGTCTGAAAACTCCAATTCGACCATTCGGATCCGCTTTCTGGGGAGGGAGATCAGGGGAAGGCCCATGAGGAAGTCGGATTTGGTCCGTCGCATCATGTTTCCGCGAAGTGCTGCTTGCACTCGCTGCGCCGCAGCTGCGGAACTGGGGTGGGTACCCACGAGCCACCTGAAACCTTCGATCGTTCCGGCGGTAGGATGTCCGATGAAACTGAAGATGGGAAAGAGGTCGTATAACGAGTTCGGAATCGGGGTTCCCGACAGCGCCCACTTGTTTACGGCAGAGAGTTGCTGGCAGGCTTCCGATGTTGCTCCTGCCCGGTTCTTGATCAAGTGGCACTCATCCAAGATGACGCGCCAGAATTTGATCCGGTGGAAGATACCTTTCGAATGCTGAGCCACCTCCCACCAGTCATCGATTGCCTTTTGCGTCCACCGCTTGCCGTCCTTGGGTCTCCTCGGCCAACTGTACATGATGGCATTGTAGGTGCAGAGAACGACATCAATGTTCCGAAGATCCCTGGCGGTTCTAATCCTGTTGTCACCGTGATGTATGAAAACTCTCAAAGTTCGCTTCTTGCAGTGATTAATGATCTCCTCTTTCCACTGCCGTAGGAGAGAGAGGGGAGCGACGATCAGAGTGACGGGAGTGTAGTCGACGTCGTGGATTTCGGGCGGATTCAACAGCATGACGGCGATAGACTGCATGGTCTTTCCCAGGCCCATCTCATCGGCAACCAAACCACCAACAGGCGGTCTCTCCAACAATTCGCGCGAAGCCATCCAATCCAATCCGAGGACTTGATGGTTCATGAGGGTCGTGACCATTGCAGGTACCCGCCACATTGTCTTTTCCTCGGTGATCTCGCGGAACCTCCTCGCGTCGTTGTCGAGGCCTCCGACCTGATCTCCCCGGATAACCTCCATGTTGTCTTCGGCGGCGAGATTGGCATCGTTGTCAGCGTGGTCGACCTCCTCTCCGTCATCGGTGATTTCCTCCTTCCGCGTAATTTGCACCGTCTCCTCCCTCAAGCCCAGCCGTCTCGCGGCAGCTATGATCTTCGCACGGTCATTCTTAATCTCTTCCTCAACCGACGTGTTTTCGACGGGCTCGTAATCCAAGTTGTCCTCCTCGTCCTCCTCGTCGCCCGCTTGCAGCTTTTCCCAATCACCCTTCTTCACCAGATGACGAGGCCGACAGCCCACGGGGGCATCATCATCGAGCGGGACGTTGTCGATCAAAGACTTGATGATATCGGGCTGCTCGGGGCCGCCAATCGGCGTGTACGGACGCTTGTGCCGGAGACCGACGTCGAGGTCGCTGTCGCTGTCGTCGCTGTCGATCGGGAGTAGCGCGGCGGCGAGATCGGTCGATGACGTCACGCGCCAGGGCTGCAAGGGAGAACCGACGCGCAGCTTCTTCGCCGCTGGAGCTGAGCGGTCGGATGGTGAGGATGGCGGCATTTTGTGGGCCCTTTTTGCGGTGTCTAGGTTGTTGTAGGTGTGGATTCACGTGGTACCGTGTCCGGGGGCTACTGTTGGGTGAGCTGGCAAGTTTGCTGTGCGAGCCGCCGAATTGAATCGGGTCGAAACAGAAAAGCCACAGTGTGGCTGGAACGTGGCTAGAGAATTCAAGCCTATCCCGCTTTGAGCAGAGCTAAGCGGGGAGGCAGATTCCACAACAGCATTTAAACTGGCTCCTTCGGGCAAATTGAATGATCGAATAGTTGTGGAATCGGAACCGTAGAGCAGATTCCGATACTGCATATGGAAATCGAAATTCGCGGACCCGAGACAGAGGGAGCTAAGATGCGGTGGAGGGGGCTTTCAATCTTCGATCGCAGAGTTTGCGGTGCGATAGATCGAGCAAGTAATGATGTTTTGATCCAGCGGGGTCCGGCCTCGTCCAAAGTCCCTACATCTCATGTTGATATGAAGTTTTGGGATTCGGATTCTCGCGATATCAGCACCGCGCCTACCTGGTTTACCTGGTTAGTCGAAGGTCCAACCATCGCACCCAATGGTACATACCATGTCCACGGCACCAAATCTCTGTATGGTTCTTACAGCACGGGTGGAATTATAGATTGTGTAGGGTTGAAGGAGTTGCGGTGATGTTGCTTCTAAAGGATGCGGTGGTGACGTGGTCTGGCAAAGGGGACGATGAAGTGAAGCATGATGGAGAAGTTGAGGTTCTGTTCAACTTCGGAGTTCCACTTTATATAACCTGCTCAGCTGCTACAGACCCAAAGACGCGTAGCGTCGTTCCTTCTCCGTTCGCAACCACCCGATCCGGCTTCTCCGGCTAATTTGGCTAGCATCCTACTTTATTTTATCTTATCGATCGCTATGATCTTATCTACCATCTCTATCCCAATATACCGTTCCGGTCTGATCTTTATGTATGGTGGCAGACAACACAAACGTTCAAGAGGTGATAACTACGTGCTAAGAGACCACCTAGTTGATGGCGTAGGTACATAGCTAAAAACCACGTAAACGATGGGCGCTGTCGATGAACGCTCATTGAGCTTGGGGAATGGATGGGTCGAGTTGATCTGTTCGGATCACGATAATTTGTACTCAATAGTATGTATATTCGCCAGCACACCGTGCAGATCCAGTTTCCGATTACGTATTTAACTACCGAGCAGAGTATAGAATACCAAAATGAAACGAAGAAAAGGAACCTATCCCGTCGAATACTACGCCCCCTCCTCGAGCGCCTGTAACATCACCAGCTCACTGTACCTGCCCTTGAGGTGCAACAACTCCTGATGCGTCCCGCTCTCCACGATCCTCCCGCTCTCAAATACATAAATCATATCCGCTTTCTGAATCGTACTCAATCTATGCGCCACAGCAACCGTCGTCCTCCCCTTCGCCGCGACATCCAACGCATCCTGCACGACCTTCTCGCTCTCCGAGTCGAGAGCGGAGGTAGCCTCGTCGAGCAGCAAGATTCGCGGATTCCGGATGAGTGCGCGTGCGATAGCAACCCGCTGCTTCTGTCCTCCACTCAGCATGCCACCCTTGTTCCCCACATCGGTGTTGTAGCCTTCCGGTAGGGACATGATGAAATCGTGGATGTTGGCGGCTTTGCACGCGTTGATGATGTCCTCTTCCGGGACATCTTCAAAGCCGCCGAGTCCTAACAGCACATTCTCTCGAATTGTGCCTTGATATAGTGTGGGTTCTTGCGAGACAAGCGCTAGATGCTTGCGGTAGTCCTGAATCCGGAGCTTAGTGATGTCTTTTCCGTCGACTAACACTTGTCCGGCGAGAGAGTCGTAGAATCGTTCGAGGAGGCCTACCGGCGGAGTTATTAGTAGGGAATGATGAGTAGGGAGAGCAATAGAGTGAGGCAGAGTGGTGAGTTAAAGCAACGAAGCAGGAAAGGTATGTGCATCTGAACGGCGACTGGTTGTCGTTGGGTCCCGATGGAAGGCAGCGAATGGAGATGTGATAGAAAAGGAGAGAAAATCAGCGAAGACGGGGGAAAGCGATTACCGATCGTTGTGGATTTCCCACACCCCGAGGGCCCAACGAGCGCCACGTACTGGCCGGGCTTGACCGTGAAGTTCAGACCGCGAAGTACAGGGACGTGGGGACGAGTGGGGTAACGGAAGTGGACATCTCGGAACTCGATGTCTCCTTCCATGGAAAGCAAGGCTTCGCCCTCCTGAGACCAGGTGTCGATCTCAGGCTTACGATCTAGTAGACGTTTGACCTGTGTTGCGGCTCGCTGGGCCTTGGAAATATCGGAGGCAAACGCGAAAACCTTCGCCGACGAATTAGCTGGGCGTACATGTGAGAAAATGATGGTCAAGATTACCTGGCCCGCAGATTGGGCGCCGAAGAGGACAGTGATGAACGCAATGAAGAATTTCTCGAAATTCAAGGATCCCTCGGAAATGAGCTTGGCTCCATACCAGAACCCCAACGCGACGATGAGAATGACGATGGACTTCGCTGGATGTTAGCTATTAATCTTCTCGCCAATTGAGAAGTGGAACTGACCTCGGAGAAAGCATAAAGAATACCGGTCTGGAGGTTGGATCTCAACCCCTTCTTAGTCTGGGCAGCCAGCTGGTCGTGGTAATGGTCCCAAACATCCCGATCTCTCGTAAGGGAAGCTACAGTCTTGATGGCTGCTGTAGCCTCGGAGGCATAAGCTGCCGAGCGTTCATATGTCTTTTGTTTCTGCTGCTCATATCTGCGCAGCAAGAACAATCGGAAGAAGCCGGCGGCTACCAGGATTGGAATGCAAGCCGTACACACCAGACCGATCTTCCAGAAGAGCGTGACGGAGACGACGATGGCCGTGATAAGTGTAACAATCGCTGTACGGAGGGAATTATGAGCACCTAGGTAACCGGGCACTGCGAAGGAGGTGCAAACATACCAGACATAATAGTGGCTGCAGTGACTCCTGAAAGGCCTGCGATATCGATGGCTTCGGTGGAAAGAAACGTGGTCAGCGATCCAGTGCTGTGTGATTCATCGTCGAAGTATGCCATCTCCTGTCGGAGCAGATGGCGGAAGCTGACATCTCGGACACGGCGAACGAGTTTCTCTGATGCGACACCGAGACATGTGGAAGATATAGAGGTTGCAACGAACTGCACGAGCCCCAGCATCAGGAACATGAGCGCCCAAAAGCTGACGTCGTCCTTGAGCGCCTTGCGATCCGGGTTTGATAGTGCAACGACCGATTTCGCAAAAAGGATTCCGTTGACAGGCTATCGATGTTAGCACATAGATTTTCTCATATTTGGAATTCCTGCGCTTACCTGTCCGCCGCCCATGATTACCGCGAACGATCCTCCCAAGAGTAACATCCATTTCTCCGGCGCATTTAGCTTGTTGATCATCATGAAAAGTGTCCATGCGGAGTAGGTTTCCTCCTCGTGTGTGGGTTTATCCTTTAGTGCGATGGAGGCAACTGACTGCTTCGTGGTGGTGCGAAAGATGCGGAGAGCATCTTCTTGTATCACCGGCTTATGGTCGCCTTCTTCTTCCGGCGTAATAGTATCCTCTTCGGCTTCCGTGGATCCAGTGTCATAAGTCTTGTCGCTCGCGGTGATCTGCTGGGCCCGCACGAGTGAAAAGTACTCGCCGCGCTTTGCCATAAGTTCTCCGTGTGTACCCTGTTCGACAATGATACCTTTGGACATAACAACGATATTGTGAGCATTACGGATGGTGCTAAGACGATGCGCAATGACAATGGTGGTCCGTGATTCAGCAGCTCGGTCGAGGGCCTGTTGTACGATTCCCTCACTCCGGGTGTCGAGCGCAGATGTGGCCTCGTCGAGGAGCAAGATCTTGGGACTGCATACGGTGTCAGCGGAATGCTCGCTTTAAAAAGAGCTGGGGAGGTTTATACTCGGAAACTATGGCACGAGCGATGGCAATTCGCTGCTTCTGGCCTCCGGAAAGGAGGAAACCGCGCTGACCCACGTTGGTGTCATATCCTTCGGGTAGCTGGTTGATGAAGCCATCGGCATTCGACATCTGACAGGCGTTAATTACGAGCTTGCGCCGAACCTCTTCCAGTGCGGTCTCTTGTGGTGTGCCTATGAGTCCATGGCACACGTTCTCAAAAATAGTACACGAAAACAACACCGGCTCCTGTTGGACGAGTGATATTTGTTGACGCAGCCATCGTAGGTTGAGGTCTTTGAGGTTATGGCCATCGAGGAACACATCGCCACCCACAGGATCGTAGAATCTAGAGATAAGCCCCCGTTAGAATGCACACTGTATATTGGCACGAAAGTAACCACACCTTTCGACGAGGCCAACGACGGTTGATTTTCCAGAACCAGAGGATCCAACCAACGCCGTGGTTTTGCCAGCAGGAATTATGAGGTCCATATTCGGCAAGATCAGTGCAGCAGGTCGGGAGGGATAGATGAACTTGACGTTCCTGAGCTCGATATTGCCATTGACATTGTCCAACTTCTGTCCTTCCTCGGCCGTTGGATCCAAGGGAGACACGCGGTCGATCGTCGCAAATATCATCTTTGCCGCAGCGGTACCGGACTGGAAGAAGTTCACGTTCGGGGCCACACCAGCGAGAGCGAAAGCTCCTAGCATGATCGCGAGCAGAGTCGTGAGGATGGAGGAGACATCCTCCTCCCCCCGCAAGATGAACTCTCCTCCCTGCCAAAAAGCCAATCCGAAGTTCAGGAAGTTGACGGACATGATAGCGCCGATGGTCAGGCCCAGAGAGACTTTCGTTTTCATGCCCCAAACTTCGGCGATAGCGAGGTGAACATCAAAATTCCTTGCCAGCTTCTCTTCGGTACCGAAGGCAACAGCATTGCGAACCGAGGACAGAACCTCCTCCGCTACCGTTCCTCCTACGCCGTTGGCCGAGAGTGACTTTGCGTAGAATCGCAAGAATAGTGTGGAACCGATCCCCATGACCAACGTCATCGCCACTACCGTCGAGATCAAGATGAAGGTGAACTTCCACGCTTTGACGAATCCGATCACGAAAGCGGCTAGGAACATCGACAAAGCCATCATGGTGATCCCTACCTTTTCCGAAACCGCATTTTGAACTTGATTCGTATCCGATGTGATCTTGACGGTGATTTCACCCGCACCCTTGTTCTTCGTTAGCACATCCCCGAGATCAACTAGTGATGCTTGTGTCGATTATACGTACCAGTTTGTCGAAAAACGCCTGATTTTGGCGCAAGATTGCCGATAGATACTCCTCTCTGATCCTCTGGGTGAGGCGCTCGCCGGTATGTTGAAATGAGATATTCGAGATGTAGGACCCGAAGAATAGTCCTACGAAAAGGTATATAAACTTGCTGTCCCCGTGTTAGCTTCGCAACCTCAATGTACCCCACCAGAGAGTTGGGGCAGTCTTACATGGTGTAGTCTTCCACCTCATCCATAAAAGCTCCCGTGTCCGATTCTCCCGAACCAAGTTTCCCAAAGCTCCCCGTCAAGTCACCGAAGATTATCGTCATGACCGGCATCATCGCCCCCGAGCCCACCGCGCCGATGCCGCCAACCGCCATGACTAACAGGTCTCGTGGAGTAGCATATCGGAATAGTGTGAAGTACGAAATAGCGGGCTCTTTAAACTCGATCTGACGCTGCAAGATCTCCCGCTCGTGTTCTGGTAGCTAAGTGCGGAGAACTATATCTTAGTGATGCCGCGCTTGCCCGGGCATGGGCATGGGTATAGTAGGTGAGGCGGGGAAATATTACATACATGCGCTAGCTGAGCATCGATATCCTCCGCCTGTTCCGGTATCGGCACCGCGACCTCGGCCTTATCCACTTCTGTCCTGGTAGTACTCTCCGGGCGTGCAGCGGGAGCGTCGGCAATCCCCTGCTTCTCGCTGTAGGATCCCGCCATGAGAAGAATATTTCGCGCTGCGCAGCCGAGAAGATGATGCTGGTCGCGCGCTAAAGGGTTGGGCTTTCGGGGAGGGTTTTGCTGAAGGGTGAAAGTGTATAGCTGATAGACATGAATGGACCGCCTCTCCGATGAAGTCCGTCGTTTCGACAATGGGAATTCGCTGCCTCTTAATTAAGTAAATATGTATCTTGATATATGAATATCGACAGAGAGTAGAACGATGCCAAGCACGGATCTTCAAGGTTCCGGCGGTTGTGGGTGGCCATGGTGACATGCCATCGACGCTAAGCGAGGCAGCGATCCATCGGCGCAATACGAGAACGAACACGAGTGAGAACGAATAGTTGAGAAATGACCAAGAAAACAAGGGAACATTCAATGAGCGACCGGATGTTGCTTCATCCGATGCCGCTCGGCGGTGCTCGAGGTTAGAACACCGTAGGGTTGCTGGCTGGAAATACATGCGCTCTACATATATAGATGGGACATACCAGGGCGAAGGGCAAGAGAAGCCACGGCGGCTGGCCTAACAAAAGTTCAGTTGGACAGTGGACATAGAAATGGAGTGTGTGTAGATTTCCATGATCCAGCTAGGTAGGTCGCATGCAATCAATGATTGAGGAAAAACAAAAAACCGTCTAGAAATACCGATACGTGTGCAACCAGGAAGCCTTACGTCGTGACCACCTCCATTACAGTTGTACGGGCGACTGGTCCTAATAAGGTCATATACTCGCCGGCTACAGCAAAATGAGTGAGATATAGTGAGATTCTGTGTGGAGACCATGGGCTTGACACTGGTAGCGAAATGGAGGTGGTTACCACTTGCCCTTTCACCCTTGTACATCCACATAGTACTCTACATTGCCATGATCGAGCTATGGTAAATCCCTAAAGGTGGGAGATGACTGAAAACTGAGTGGGCTGCGGGCCGGCGGTTGGGAGGTCAAGGCTGCGGTTAAGATAAAGGCTGCGATGAGGCTGCGATGAGGCTGGGGTTGAGTTTCAGCCCAACCTGGTACATATTTCAGAGGACTGTGTGTGACAAGAAGGAGAAAGGTATTGTACAATCCTCTTATAGTATTGACCCACTCTGCCGCCCTAAAAGAAGTGGCGCTACCACGGTAACTACATTGCAGTTACTAAAAGGTTCCGAATGGAAAGCTCAAACTTCGTGGCCCAGAGGTGCTTCTCGATTTTCGCATCTTGATACCCTTCCGTAACTGTTATTACTTCTGCACTCTGTGAGAAAGTAGTATTTTGAGAACCGGTCTTTCGAAAATGAGAATCGGGAGAAGAGAGTGAAAGTTTGGGAGTTGTGTGAAATGCGCATTGTGTCGAGTATTTAGTAATAGAAGGTATCGGAGCCGTCGCCGACCCGTCACACAATATGCATCTCCTCAACTAGGTCCTTTGCCGTAGGGCCACAAGGGAAAACTTTGATCTACTCTCGGTCGTGTGTACGTAGCGGGCTGTTTTAAACTACGACTTCGTCTGGCCCGATAAATACGTCGACAACCAATTCGTGAGCTGCTTGGGTGAGGAATGATGTCGTGATCTTCAATTGTTTATTGAGGGCTTGGGAATCAACGCCTTGGAATCTTCCAAGATTACGCGGCTAGGGATGGTTATAGACCGATCTACCTAATATAATGTACCGGGCTTGGAGCTTGTAGCTTGGAGTTTGGACTGTGACATTTGGTGATAACCATAGGAAATCACTCGGTATGTCTGCTACGTCGGTTTGTGGATTAGGTCGAGCATATTTTAGGTGTCGTCATAGGCTTATATAGACTGAATCAAACAGATAGAGCAGACTTTAAATCAGAGGAAGTAAGCAATCTGCCGTGTATCCGTCATTACGATCTACCCACCGCACAATCTTATATTTCATATCCTCAACCGTCCTACTCCGGTCCAACGCCTTAGATTCCAATCGTCATTATCCGCATCGCTCGACAAGTTGCTACATATCATTATCCATCGGCGCAATAGCACATACGGAAAATTTTGTGTCTACTTCTCGTGGACTCTTGGAAGATGAAAATGCTGGTCAGACCTGTAGGCTGCAGGTACGGAGTCCAGAACCGTCGCTGCAAGCGGCTCAACTATCTGACACGAAAGTACATTGATATGTACAGCTTGAGTTTCGAAACCGTAATCATCTTACATAAACATTGAGTTTCCGGTTGCCTCCTCCTTTCATCTTATTATTAACCTAAACGCAAGTCAACCCCACATGAACTCATCCCCGTCATTACGATAGCACAAACCCCCAGGCCCAGTCTAAATCACTGCCCAGAAGCCCAAACCAAGAGCCATACCCACCGACATGGTGAATCCTACTGCACTAACTGTGACAGCCGATCCCGATCCCTTCGCTGATCCCTTCGCCGACGCCGCCGCCGTGTTAACACTCTTCTCGCTCCCCGCACTAGCCGACGCCTCTGCGGTATAATTCGTTACTGCGTCCCCTCCACCGCTCCGATACCAGTTCTCTTCGGGATCGTCGAGACACTGACCCACGGTCACGCCCTTGAACCCGGCATCCTTGATGGTCTGCAGCATGTGCTTCGTCAACTGCGTCACTGTCATCTCTTGGATGTCGTGGGCGATGACGAGGAACTTGGAGTTTGCTGGGTCCACGGTAGATACTTTGTTGGTAAAGATCAGCTTCGAACCGGAGATCGTTTCGAGCGTCCCTCGATTGTAGTCGTCGGTGTCGAGGTCAAAATAAGTTATGTGCTGGGGGGGGATCGGTCAGCAGGGCAGGAGGAGCGAGCGGAGCAATGACGGAAGGGAGATGAATGACGGCGAAAACCAGAGACACGGGAACAGGAACGACGGGAATGAGGGAGGACTCCATACGTAGCCCAGATCGTTCAGATCGGATCTGCATTCTTCAGTGCAGGAAGAGTATGGAGGACGCATATACGTGGGGATGTAGCCGTCGCCCAAGATGTTGCGAAGTGCCATCTCGAGCTTGATAATCTCATCCTTTCTTTGTTCCTTCGTGATCTTGGTGAGATCAGCATGTGACCAGGTGTGGGAAGCGATTTGGTGTCCGTCGGCGATCATGCGCTTGATCATAGTGTCCCAACCGTATGTCGGATCATCAATGGCTCCCTTGCCGAGGTTGACGCCGGTCACAAAGAATGTCGCCTTCATGTCGTATTCCGTCAGAAGATCGAGGATTTCGGGAGTGTATTTGTACGGACCGTCGTCCTGGGTCAAGGATAAGCAAAGAAATAGAACAGGATAGTATAAACGATACGTACGAAGGTCAGAGCAACATTACCTGCCCTGGTACAGCTGTGGATATCCGTGGTGTAGGATACATTCCCGATTGGCGACCGATCGACCGAAGCGGTATTCTCACCGTCTGGAGTTTGTGAAGCATCGCATGTTCCAAAATTGATCAAGCAGTCAGGGCTCTTGCAATGGGCGGTAGTTGTACCGCAATATCCAACCGACGAGCAGCACTCGCCGTTGATACACTTCGCATTGTTATGTGTTGGACCACACACAGTCACTCGTGCAGTTGTGGAGTCTCCTTCGTGGCATTTTCCGAATGCTGGTTGACATCTGTCCACTAGTAACGGGATCAGCCTGTTGCTCAAACAGAGAGATCTAGTTACATACCACAATGTTCATCTTTGTCGCCACAGTAACCTTTATAACTGCAGCAGAGGTTTCCCCCTTCTTTTGGACAGTGCATTCCTTTCCCGGCACCCGCATAGTCGTTGCCGCAAGTTCCATCCGTGGTATATACAACTGTCTGGCGGCCGTTTAAACTGTTTAGATCGATACCTGCACCGGACCGCACTCCGAGCCGCGGACCGTGTTGGTGAGCCGAGGACAGCGCCGTCCACGATAGTGCAACCAGGGCCGCCGAAATCGTGACTTGCCTGAATTGCATGATTGCTGCTCCTTGCTGAATATATGGCAATGTATTAGTATTATGGTGCATATTAGATTTCGGGATGCGAGTTGTCTGAACGAATGTGTATCCTCCAGGACCGCCAAAAGAATGAAAAATCTTCCAGCCACGCTCGTCTCGGGGAAGGAAGAGGTTAAAAAGCTCACCGTCGACGAAGAAACCGAATAAGGCAAGGGTACCTGTACTTTGAATTTTACTATATTAACCGCCAAGATACACGTCAAACGTCCAATACCGAGGTGTAGTGACGATGGCACGACTACCGTTTACCCGCCTACTATGCATAAAATATTCCCCTACCTATTGAAAACCTCACCATCCCCTTCCGAGGCTTGAATCCTTGTAACATACCGTGCCGCTTGGTAAGGCGTTTTGTGGGCCGGGTCAACGACAGATTTAGGAAACTGCCATCAACGGCTGGTCGGGACTCGCCGATAGGATAGGCGAGTGATTGGCGCTGACATGTCTTGCATAGTGCGCAGCCGAAACACCCCGAAGGAAGGATTTACTCCACATATCGGATCGTCACCTCTTGTCGCCCTTATAGTCAACCATGAATGATGAATCATAAGCTGTCAATCGCTGACGGAACATAGGTAGTCGAACCCTGGGCGATTCCCTGTGCGACAGGAGTGATTCCCTTCATACAGGTTTAGCAGCATATCTTTGGTCCATCTGAATTGAGGTATCTCTGAACGGAAGTGAAATGAGGCTTGTCTTTCCCCATGGATGGAATCGCGCCTGCGCAAGCATCACGCCGCGCGAACCGAACAAGGAAGAAGCTGTGGCTAAATGCAATGCCAGCGAAAGCTATATACTATGCAGAGCGGTACCCTCGCGCTTCTATGTACCGGTTCAGAGTGGAGCACAAGGCAATCGGTCCGTGCCTCAAGAAGATCGGCAAGCGCGCTAACACCACCTGTTGTGGTGCGACTGCGGAATCAAGCAGTTCGCGAGCAGCTACCGGTATTCAGCTGCAGGAAGTTGAAGTCCCAGCCAGAGATCCTGTGGATACAGGTCCGGCGGAAAATGATAAACCCGGAAGCCGGAAGGACAGATCTAAACATCCGCCCTCTTCATTGAAGAAAAGTGCAGCTTGGCTATGTTGGATTTCCTGAGGTGCACAAGAGGCGGCAGGAACTACCTAACGAGGACGGCGAGGAAAAAGACGAGGGGATTGGGAAGGGAATGACTGATTTGCTTCCGGCTTACTTTCTGGGGTGTCTTTTGCGTTTACACCGGCTGATAAGGGCGAGATGAGAAACCCTGTCGGGCCGGGCACTTAGGTGTTCGGTGGGGAAATGAGAATACATGACTCAAACCGTCATGACCGGATACAGTCGGATAGATACAGAAAAGTGATGAAATGACATACATAAAAAAATGTCCACCACAACGGTATTTGCCCCTGCAGCACTATACACTGGCAGATAGTGGGGAGAAGAGAAACCCCTAGTTACCGGGTCAGGCACTTCGGTGTTTTGATTGGAAACGGACCTTGTGTAGATACTCAGTTATGTAGAGTACCTGGGTCTGTTCGACAAAAACGGACCATCCGCTAAACTGGGTTGATGACCGCTGGCGAGTCGCGACCATCTTGGCGAAACGAACGTTCGACGATCAGTCGCGCTTCGCTTCACGCCGCAGAGCCCCATCACGATAACGCTCCCCGCCACGTTCACTCCCCACCACCTTCACTCATCAAGGCTACTACCCACGTGTCGATTCCTCATGAACAACTGTCTCATCGAACCAGCATCGTCGGAACGAGTGGAGTTAATCGCCGCTCATCTGCATTCTACGCCAGGTCGATTCCCTTTGGCAACAGACACCACGTAACCAGGTACACCTACCTACCTGTCTCGCGCGAACCAGTCCATACGCAAGACGTCGACACTCGACAGACCCTGACGAGCTCACTACCCTTCATCGGCCCGGAAACACCATGCGATACAACTCCCCCACGATCCTTCTCGACACAAACGGCGGAACGGGTCAAATGGCGACTACGCCAGAATGCAACTACTTCAACGCGTCTGGGTGAGGGTGTCAGTCTGGTGCGGTTCATCCATGTTCCGCGGCTCGCGATGGCTCTCGCATCCGATCGCAGGATGATTCCGCCACTTCCGATACCGCAACGTTTCGCATTCCATTTGCCCCACCCCCCTCTCATCTAGGCGACTGAGAGGCGATTCGAAAGGAACTCGACAGGTCGACTATATCCATACGCAGGTTGCTCCAATACCTACTATTGCTACAACCATTGTCGGTGATCAACTGCTGCATCTGTGAGAGGGTAAGCCATCCTTTCCCCCTCGACTCTCAATAAGATTCTTCACCACTTCGAGCACTCATTCCATTCCCTCCCAGGACCAGATCGGAAATCCGAGGGCATTCAGTGGGAGCATAACCGGCCGCGTGTTTCTGATTGTAAGCTGGGCTCATTTCGCAGGGACAGTCGCATAGTCAGCGTTGTACGCCTCTCAGCTCAGCGCATCCCATATCTTATGCCCACAACTTCCCGGCCTAGGGGACAATCACTGCATTCCGTTTGGATACTTCCCCATGCTCCCTCCAGTCACCCCATATTCCCCACAGCGCCATCGATAGCAGCTATCGTTTGTTCCCGCGACAATACAACACAGCCGGGAACACAGGGTGGATTTAGGAGTCGACAAATGGACTTTAACCATGCCGGCGATGTATTGCAAGAATTGTGGTCTTGAGGGTAGTGGGGGCTAGTCTTCTACATAGAGAATCAACTCACCGGGTTCGATACGCTTGCTCGAGCGGGCCGACCAAAGCGGGGTGGGGACATACGGACCATCCAAACCCGTCCTCGGGCCCGATGGTAGCATTAGAGCAAAAGCCGCACCATTCCTACTAAAGAACCGACGGAACCAAGGCCGGCTAACACGGATAACCGGATTCTGGATCGAGATGACACTGATGATGATGAATTCGGTGCTGTAGTACAAATTTTCCTTGATGTGCTGGGTCGATTGATATTTCATGAGTCGTGATGAATTCGGGGGAGTCGCGGAAATTGGACAGTCAGATGCTCTTGATAACCTAGCTGGCGCGGGCAAAGAGATTGACAGCGCCGACGCCCCATGAATGAGGTGGGCGCCGATAAGGGAATAAAGATGCTGGTCGGAACACTGGGGGATTGTTATATCGGCTGCCGAACGCAGTCTATAGTAGAGTAGGGGAGATCAACGAGCAGCAGCAGCTGCTCGACTACCTATGTCTTCTTCAATGTACGTGACCTACTCCCGTAGCATCAACGGCGTCGTTCTCCACGCTCTCGATCCGTGATCGTGCAACCTATTTTCCGCAAGTATAGCAGCGAGAGTTAGTGGACGTCGTGGAGGTTACATGCTAGTTAGCCGGAACCAAAGTTATTGAATACCCAGCATGGGCGTGAGGTAGTTAGGAGGTTGTCCGAGAGCAGCAGGGCTGAGGGGAGCATCCCAAAATCGACGATGAAATCTGTGCCGAAGCAATCATAATATCTCACTCGAAATCTCACTCAAAATCTCACTCGCTCGAAACAACGATAAATTCATGCTCGACTCGACTCGACGTTGCGTACTCTACATGCTCGGACAGCGAAACGCTGATTTGAGTGCAGAACCGACGAAAAATTAGTGCCGAACTAAGGACGTTCCTCTTCTTTTGTCGTCCATCATTCACATGCCCTTTCCTCGGTGTGATCCGCACAGACAAGGGCTGATTCGCGGAGGGCAAAGGTGAGCCTATGTGACAACGTCGTGCGCATGGCCAACAGCGGCCGGAGACGGTGGTGAACAAGGCTCGGATATGTAACTTTCATGATCTAGTAGTAAGGTCGAATGCAAGGAGGATTAAACCAAAATAAAAATTGGGGATTGCGAGTGACGGCTGCTACCAGCAGCAGCCAAGGCACCTCGGATCGCATCGTGACAAAAGCCAGTGTCTGTCGCTGCCAACTTGGGAGAATACGTATGAGGATACCTATGCGATGAGACGGCAAAGTACCCAACGGGGAGCGCTGGGTAGCGGCGGCATAGCAACACTGAGGAATTCTAGTCCAAATACCGGTGGATAGGCGAAATACCAATAAAACAAGAAAAGGAAAAAAAATGATTTCTTGTTTGCTCAAAAATCAGCAGACACTAGGAATACACTAGACTACCTACACGTATCTAACAGCCCAAGGAAGGATAGGATAGGAAGATGCGTTGCCAATGATTCTGTCCATTGCGGCTCTTACTGTCTTTTTATTTTATTTGGGGTGGATACTACTCTAGTAGTTGCACCTCTGCGCTCACGGCATACTTATGATACGAATAGTACTTACTCTAGGTGAGTATACGGGTATCGTGATACTGGTATCATTATGTACTCTCTCTTGAGCACATACCACTAATCATTGAGAAAATGTAACGCAAGGCAAGGCAAGTGCACCGGCACTCCACTCTTCCGCCGCCATGACGTGGGGGGCTCGGAACATTGCCGTTGGATATGGAAAGTACAGCGTGATAGAATCTGAGACAACCCTAGAGTACGTATGTAGATGTAGAGTACATACCGGCATGGACGTATGGGGAAAGGTATCCCGTGGTCCGGCAAACACTCGATGATGTCCGGCATGCGGCAGCGCCAATACGTAGTGACTCAGCCGTATAACTCCTTGAACAGTTTAGTCGCGTTGTGGTGGTTCATGTGTGTTGATTCTTTATACTCGACATATCTACGGCACGGCGACTTCGCCATGACCACTAACTAATGCATGTTAAACATCGACCATGCGGAGTATGTACATGTAACATATGTAGGACCTGGGGATTCTCGAGCCGATTGCTCTTATCCGGGCGAGGATATCACAGATTCTTCCGCCTCTAATAGAGTACATACATACTTACTGTTCTTCTAGAGTACTCGTGGCAGCCAGCCATTTAGTATCCGGACACGTACCTAGCCTTTTTCCTGGACATGAATGATCCCTTTCCCCGCGCAGATCAGTAGATAGTTTTTCATCACGATTTTCGGTTCAAGCGAAGATAAGATTTGGATATGATGTCCTCGGGAATGTCGTCGCGCTACTAGTTATAGACAAACTCCGCATCCTTCATGCCTGCCTGCCACGAGGAGGCTCTAGTACGAGATTACATGGTGGATAAAATTAATAATCTCTTGTCCAGCCCACAGATGTGGAGGTAGTACATAGGGCTGGCACTTCTGGCTTCAAGCTTGCCGTCCATCTGGGCGGAAATAAATTCCATCGTTATATGTAGCTACCTACCTGGTATGTACAGGTGGGGCGGGGGCGGGGGCGGGGTGTGGGGGGGAACCTCAATATACATATCGCGTCGGTTATAGCCACAGATCGGATCTGCGACACTATGATCTCGCGTCTGATTTGTCTGATTTCCTTTCCCGCTCTCCGGCTACTACTTCTATGCGTTTTCTACTACTACGGTAACTACATATGTAGGGAGTGCGGAGATGATACTGCGGCCTGTTGTTGGCCCTTCAGTGGGCATGCGGCTGCAGTCACTGACTCACTGCACGACGCCAGGCAACACCAACGTAGAGTATTCCACCTACTCTCCCTTGGTCGCTACTCGGGTCCAATTGGAAGTTAATACATACAACTTTTACCCATCATTATATTTTTGTTCTTGTCACGGCCTTGGGCAATGGGAAGTGTGGAGCCCACATGGTGCCGGTCTTCGTCGAGAGACCCAACGGAACCGGGAGTGCTTCTCGGAGGCTGGAGCAGGAAGCGGACAGAAATAGGTACTCGTGGTGCCACTGGCCTGTGGGCATAACGTTTTCGAAGTTTCAATGGGCGCGATGGGTTTCTGAGACTCCGAACCAATCTTTGCGTGAACCGGTGAGAAGTTTTGCTGCGAAACTACTGTTTGGGGAAAAGCCTTAGGTTAGGCCAAAGAATTGACTGAATTCGCGAAGACTCCATGCCTACCAGAGTAGATACCGTATCAGGCAAAAGTTCGCCGTAGAGTGGGTAGGCACAAGGTACCTATGTACATACTCTACTCCAATCTACCTAGATCTACATATATCGCTCGCACAGAAAAAAATACTCTACTCCAATCTAGATCTATATAGTAGGTAGTCGGGGACTAAGCCGAGAACTTCTTTTGGTTATCAAGACAAAGCGGACGCCGGACTCGAAGCCAAATAATCGAATCATGCAGGAAAGAAAATACGCTTCAAACCGTTCAACGTACATGCGTAGATACAGATTCCCGCTTTCTCCGAGTTACATACTCTCACAGTGTGCTTCCGGAACGGCATCCGTCTTTCTTTGCTCTACTCATCATGGCATGCGACCTTATCAGATCATGGCAGTCAGCGGAAACGGCATCCATAGTACTAGCACATACCAAGAGACTTCGACAATGTTTGACATATCGGAGTGAGAAATGATAGTAACGTTTCTCCTACCAGCCTCCCATCCCCCAATCGGATCATCGAACACGGACGCGAACATGAAGGATACTTGAAGGGATTTACTGGGAGCGGGGGAAACGGGGATCGTGGGCGGCGTTGATCGTTCCCTGAACGCACAGTTCAGAGGGTTTCTCCACTCTCCTACGCTACTCCGCCTCCATATCGCTATGCCTCCAATCTCCAACAGTCGGGCGGATCCAGCACCGTTGGGCGCAGCAACAGAAATTATTTTTCATGTGGGGTGGGGGGAGAGGACGGGTGGGTGGGAGGCGGTCGATTGGCATTGCCGACAGACCGCCGCCAGTTCATCCGATTCCGCGGTGGCTGATTGGCGCCGTAAACGGTGGCTGCTGTCTCGTTCGCACTGCGAGTAGTAAGCTGCCACAATCCGCAAGGTTTGCGTTGTGCGCTGTCGGCGTTCGTGCGTTTGCCGAGGAATTCCAGCGAATTCGGAAAGTATGACTGGTTTTCCGCGTTCCAATTGGCGCCCGCCCCACACCTATGTGTCCTCTCTTCATGATCGCTACCGGAAGCTGTAGTAGTTTAAGCTGTAGTTTAAGCTGCAGCACTGTGCTTCTACAATCCCATGTGGCGCGAATCGCATCCGACGCTGTCAGCGTCGCAATCGTATCCTATGGCTCACGGAATACGTGGTCTACAAATATACATATCCGTCCCAGCCTCACCACAAACTCCTGGCATCCGAATCCGTTTTTCGGCCGCCTTTCGTCGCACCCCCGGTACCAACGGCTCAATCGAACACCAAGCCTAACAAGCTACCTCCGGAGAAATACACGCACTGTACTGCCAAGGTCCGTTCCTTGGAAAAACGACGGGATGCTAAAACGATTATTCGGCTGCTTTGGTATCGGAAAAAGCGAGCGGGAGGCCAGTCAACCAGCACCGATTAGTCGCAGGCGACGGGAGCGTGCACGGTCGACAGATGCCGCCTACTCAACCAGCGATAACGCGGCCGGGAGTCCAAGGGTGAAACAGCCCGGCAGCCCAAAGGCAAAATCTTCAGCCGGCAGCCCAAGGGTATCGGCGCCGCCTCCTTACCAGAGGCAAACACCACGGTCTCCCCGGCAACCAGCGACACCGCCTGTCGGACCTCCTCCGGCAACACCTTACCGGTCCAGAAAACGCGCCTGGAAGGATCGGCGTAGGAGTGCCGACCGCGGTGTGCCCCGCGAATCGAATCGGCAACGGCCGAAAACTGCGGCGACCGGAGGCGATACACGAGCCCAGGCGGGGAACGGACAACAGCCCGTCGCGCCGGCAGTCATCGAGACCGAAGACCAGTCACTATGGGGCAGGGCCATGGGGGGGCTGACTCCGAAGCAGCAGCGCTTGCTCACAAGTGTCAGCATCGCGACGAACAACCGCCAGATCGCGACCGACGTGCGAACCGTAATCGCGGAAATCGTGAAGAGCCGCAACGAAAAGGAATGGAATATTTCGTTCATGGGAAAGACAATCCACATGAAAGAAATCGGTATGCGAATCCTCCAATGGGCCGACAGGTTCAAGAATATCGGCACCATCATCGCCCAATATGACCCCGTACACGCTGCCTTGCCATGGGCCGGATTTCGATTCTTGCTGCAGGTTAAAAAAACTCCCTCCATTCCCTGATCGTTCCGAGATATCGTGGTCCGTCATGGCTGACGATGATGATGAGCATAGGCCTGTTTGGAAAGGCGGCAGGCATTGGATGCGATATTGATTGGGATAGAGAAGACCGCCGGCATCATGGATCGCTGTGCCGTGTACGAACACGTCCACCTCGATTCCAACGAAGCAACAGCGGCCTCGCGAAACCTGGAAAATTCAATGTTCCAGCTCTACACGGAAATATTGGTATTCCTTACCAACGCCATAAAGAGATCGAATGGTGCGTTTCTAACCCCTATCACGTGGAAATTAACTGTGTCACCCCCTTTGCCTAACTGTTTCCCAGATGGCCACTTCAAGGCTATATTCTCAACGGACCAGATTGCGGATTACTTTAAGACTGTCGAGGACCTGAACCACGCGGTTGCACTCAATGCTGATGCTGCCGGAACGCAAGGTATTGACTCGAGTCTTGGTCGGAAATACCGCGGGAAAGAATGTTGACGATATCTAGATACACTATCTAGATATAATCAGTTTACAAGGTCTTTAGATAGCATACAGCGAGGGCTAGAAGGTATGCACAGAGTTTTCACAACTTCCAAATTGCCGGTGGCATCTACTCACGTTGAACTACTTAGCCTCCAGGAGGGCCGACATTCTGGAATGGATATCTGACATTCCGTACACGGCCCATCACAAGCGCATCAGCGAGAGCCGACTACAAAAAACATGCGAGTGGCTGTTCCTAAAGGACGAATACCGCGAATGGACGTCTTCAAACTTTTCGCATCTGTTATTGCTGCGAGGAACTCGTAAGCTTCCCTTATTCCATCGCGAGAGTCGAAATCCTTTTCTAACCGGTGGTGTTTAACATCCAGCTGGAGCCGGCAAATCATACGTCGCCTCGAGATTCATCGATACTTTCCATGAAAAATGGACACCGGGAAAGCTGGCGTACTTCTACTGCGACCAAACCTCGGAAAAGCGTCAAGATCCCGAGAATATTCTGCACGCACTCATTCAGCAGCTCGCGCAGATCAGCGCCGAAGAGCTGTTGCAGCCGGTCGTCGATATCTACAACAATCGACAAAATAGGGGGCAGAAGTCTGCGCCGCTGAGCCTCGAGGAGAGCCAGTCACTTCTCGTTCAGCTCACGGATATATACCCGCAGACGACGATTTGCATCGATGGCTTGGATGAAGTCGCGCCGGAGACTCGCGTAATCCTACTCAAGTCCCTAGCGAACATCATGCGGACCGCAAAGAACCCTCTCAAGATCTTCGCGACCAGTCGAATGGATCCAGACATTCCCCTGCTGTTCCATAAGGTTACCATGATCGAGTTACAACCTAGTGATAGTGTCAGAGACATTACCCGGTTTGTGGAGGAGAAGGTCCAGAGTGCCATCGATGACAAGCAGCTGCTTCTCGGCAATGCTGGTGGTGAGCTCAAGGCCGAGATATGCAATATCCTCCGCCACCGATGCAAGGGAATGTAAGTTTGCAGTGACTCCGAGCGTGGGGGGACGAAAAAAATATGCTGACAGACAAATGTCAGGTTCCAACTAGCGGCTCTTCAGATCACGTTTCTCTGCGCCATGTCCACCGAGGAGGATGTAAGGAGGAACCTGAGGATGCTGCCACGAACACTGGACAAAGCCTACGACGAAATCTACGAACGCATCTGCAACCAGGAAGGCAGCGCCTCTCGTCTTGCACTGAACGCATTTCGATGGATCCAATTCTCCTACGAACCGTTAAGCTCGAAAGTACTCCTGGATGCGATCACGGTCAACGTTGGCAAATCGTACGAGTTTTCCCGTGAAGCCGCAGTGGGGCGCGACATGTTACTTAAGATTTGCCACAACTTGATCGTGTTCGACGAGAAACTGGACGTTTTCCGTTTTGCGCACCTGTCCGTTTCCCAATACTTGGCGAAGCACTTGTCCAACTCCCATACGGAAATCGCGAAAGTGTGCCTTTCATTGCTGTGCGCGCCTGGCTCTTGGGGTGGTTACGAAACCCTCTCGGTTACCGCAGGACGACGTCATGACAAGGGCCACCTGTTGCTGTACTCCACAATGTTTTGGCCGTGGCACATGTCCGGATATCAAGACGAAAAGAAATGTCGGTTTCTTAACTCACTATACAAGTCCTTCACAGCCAGGACCGGAAGTCACTACAACCGATGGCGCGATTACCATGTTCAGTGCGTTCAAGTCGATCCCTATCCGCCACCAGGCACGTTTTGGAGCAGAGTCGGTGCTCTGCGGGCGGAGAAGTACGACCTGCTTGCGTTGGCCTGTGTGTTCAATCTGCGAAGGATGTTTACCAGCGTATTCGAAGCCAAGCCGCCCGTGGAGACGACCCAGCAAGACCGATTACTCTGCCGGGCCTGCGAGTTCGGGGACCTTGCTATGGCACCGCTGCTCATCAACACAGGTGCCGACGTCTCGGCCACCGACGAACACGGCAGGACACCGTTACACCTCGCCTTGGAGAGTGGAAACGAAGCGGTGGCACAACTGATAATTGACAGAGGAGCCGACGTGTCGGCCACCGGCGAGATAGGGAAGATACCGTTGCACCTCGCCGCCGAGAGAGGCCACAGGGCGATGGTACGACTGCTAATCGAGCGAGGCGCTGACGTCTCGACCGCCGACGAACAGGGAAGAACTCCACTGCATATCGCTGCCCAGCGAGGACACACGGCGATGGCGCGGCTGCTGATCGAGCGAGGCGCTAACGTCTCGGCCGCCGAAACACACTACGGGAGGACACCGCTGCATCTCGCGTCGGTGGGTGGCCATCAGGCGGTCGCGGAGCTACTCATCGACAACGGAGCCGAAATATCCGCCGCCGATACACATTACGGCAGTACACCGCTCCATATCGCCTCGGAGAGCGGACATGGGGCTTTGGCGCGGCTACTGATCGATCGGGGAGCCGATGTCTCCGCCATCGACAAAGTTTCCGGCAGTACACCGCTGAAGGGCGCATCCGAGTGGGGCCACGAGGAAGTAGCGCGACTCCTGATCAAAGCGGGAGCCGACGTCCTGGCTGCTGACAACCTTGGTCGGACACCGCTGCATCTTACGGCTGAGAGCGGGCACAAAAGGGTGGCACAGCTACTGATCGAATACGGCGCCGAGGTCTCGGCCGCCGAGGCGCGGGACGGAAGTACGCCGCTACATCTTGCTTCGGGGCGCGGACACGAAGCCGTGGTGCGACTGCTCGCCGACCACAATGCCGACGTGTCGGCTACAGACTATTCCGGGAGGACGCCATTGCACCTCACGTTGGAGAACGAGCACGAGGCAGTGGCTCGATTGCTGATCGAGCGGAAAGGCGACGTCTCCGCCGCCGATGTGACGGGGTCGACGCCGCTTCATCTCGCCTCCGAGGGCGGTTACGAGGAGGTGGCACGACTTTTGATCGACCGTGGAGCCGAAGTCCAGGCCACCGACAAGTTGGAGGTAACACCATTGGCCTTGGCCTCGGAGACAGGGCACGACGGGGTGGCGCGACTGCTACTCGACAAGGGAGCCGACGTGTCGAGCGTCGAGAAGCTTCACGGCAGAACGCCACTGCATCTCGCGGTGAAGAACGGACACGATGCGGTCGCGCAACTCCTGATGGACAGGGGAGCTGACATCTCGGCCACGGACAAGGAAGGGAAGACACCGCTGTTCTTTGCGTCGGGAGGTGGCCACCACGCCGTGATAAAGCTGCTTACCGACCGGGGAGCCCCCATGTCGGCTCCCGTAGAACGCGCGAAGACACCACTAGTACCCGTCGTTTCGGGAAAATCAATTGTAACGCCCATGCAGCAGCTGCTCGGCTGGGCAGTTACGCGGGCTCCCATGATCTCTTCATCGGTGGACTCATCCTCCCTGCCCAACCCCCTCTAGTTCGTATTTGTTTGTACATACGCTTGTCTTCTCCGATTCCCGCCTCCTATATACCCCGAGTCACAACCCCACATCTACTAGATGCAATCCCCATGATACCGTGTTTTCATCGACACGAAACTCGCTCCCTTTTCGAATGTACGGTTCGGGTCAATTCAAGTTTATATACCGCTCTTGCTTTCGTCTTCGTAGCGAGTTCCTCCATGCATGCTCACGAGTCACGAGCGACGAAAATACCCCGGAACTTACATTCATACTCGCAAAAGAGCCGTATCGGTTGAGACGCCGAAACACAGCAAGACGAGGAAAATTGCGGTCAGAGTGACTTGTGTTGACGATCGGTGGGTGGGTGGGAAGGAGGGTGTGCATGAGATGGGGCTTTCAGTTCTCCCAGGGGAAGAGGGCGTTGGATAGAGACCGCCAACGTGGAGCAACGGGAAGACGTCACTCAACCAGAAGAGGGCTCGGGTGGGAAACGGAGCGGGGGACGGGGGATCGGATGCGTATCTGCTTTGCTTCGTGGAGAAGGCTTTCGAATGGGGCGGTGTCTAGGTATTTCGCCTCGGGTGATCAGGAGGGTGGGAGGTACCTATTGGAGGTATCGTGTACTTCACGGAGGACGGTAGTAGAAATAGATGAGAATCGCGAATTCTAGCGATACAATCCAGTGTTCTACATAGACCAGACCGGTCGGCCGACCTGTCTAAGTCAGTCTGCCAAGACGCAGACCAGACCTTCGATTTTCCGGTCGAGATACAACTATGCAGACCAGACCGTGGTTGGCCGGTCAAGATATAAGTAAACCGACCAGACCCCCCTCGGCTAGGTCGGCCGACGTCGGCCGACGTCGGGTTAACTGTTAACTGTATCAGCCGCAAAATTTTCCATAGTTTCCGGCGGTGGTTAGAGCATTTCCGACGTGAAATGTTGTTTCTTAGCCCGACCTATCCCGACCCGACCTGAATATTTATAATCTGGATATATCCCGCCCCGACTAGACGGTAGACCTAAAAACTTTCCGTCGGGATATATCCCCACCTGACCAGACCATACCCAAATTTGGTCGGGACTGGTCTATGTAGAACACTGATACAATCGTAATTTAGGACACATGAGAAAGCATAACAATTCGCTAAATTAGAACAAGTCCCAGTCGCCGTCCGGCGTCCGGTCCGTACCATGCGGCCCGTTGACTGTATCTGCAACGATATTTGATTCCATGTGTATGAGCTACAGTACTAGGACAAAAAGGATTGGACAGTGGCCATTTTACACCAAAAATGGCCATTTTCAACCACTGATAAAACAGCCACAACGTATCGGAAAAATTCAGAGGCCGTCGGGAGACCTCTATAACTACACCTACAGCGATATGGGAGCTCCTCACGGAGTTCTGAATTGTTGTTGTGGAGCAGTACCATACGGGGCAAAAGTTAATGGTTGCTAAGTAGCTTTTTGTATGGGAGCCCTATACAAAATGTAATATCACTTTTCAACTCCTGCACAATACAACGTCGTACAGCCCACTCCATGATGAAAGTCTTCAAAGTTTTTATTGATGAAGAAGCTTGTGATTCTAACGCTTCTGTAAAAGAGACGATTTTTTCGACCAGATGAAGGTATGTTTGGGTTGCATGAAAATGGCCATTTTTGGTGTAAAACAGGCTTTGTCCAATCCTTTTTGTCAGGGTACTTTTATGTTGCCAGCTCGCTGGGTGTAATAGTATGATTGTGTTTACATATCATACTTCCCAATATTCATCTAACCATGATGTCTAATCGTTTGACTTTCCGTAGAGAACACATCCACAGATGGTACCAACATACAGCAGCGGGTCTACCACCACCGGACAGGAACATTGTTGGATTGATATTAGAGCATTTGGGACCGGGTTTTGGGGGGTTTATCTTGTGGTATAAATGGTTTACTGGCAGGAAACACTTCTACTGTGTAAATGAAGCTATTGTTTTACGCCTTCATAGTGTAACCATGTCTTTCGCTGGTTATCCACGGCACTGCTTCCTTGATTGAGCCTAATGCACTACGATAGAACACCACCTACACCTATCACGGAGAACCTCATATTTCCTCGACACACCACAGAATTAATTAGGTATTTTCCACAACGTTTTCTGATGATTTTTAACAGGCCAATTAACTTTTCCCAGAATCATATTTGGAGTTATGGTTGAGGGGGAAGCCTGTTGTGGTGTGGGGCGGCTTTCTCCCTTTCGTTTTCTCTGATGGTAACTATACTCTAGCTTCTCTTCACGTACCTATGATACACTGCGCACAGGACAAAACCTTAGGATCCATCGTTCGCTCCCTGTTCGGAATCCCATCATCCACTATTATGCACATACATCCAACACCATTAACTAACTTTGAATCTTCCCAGCCTCCGTTTCTGGCACTAGCAATGCTTCCGCCGCCTCTTTAAAATACTTGGGACCTTGATATCTCCCCTTCCCGTGCACGAACCACCACACCGTGACCAAGAAGATCAACCCACCGGTGGTGACGGAAGTATCTACAACAGCCATCAGTCTCGTTCCCTAATCGATACACCCAGACCTGGGATAAAGAAATGGGGTGAGAGTGGGGAGGGGGGGGGGGGTGCTCACAGTTCATGTTCTGCACAGTAGCAGGTATCACGAAGGGAAAGCAGAAGAGCACCACGGTGGCGGCAATGTACACCAACGAAGCGATATTGATCGGCCAGCCCCACCTCCCAAGGTGGAAAGGCCCCGGAACGATGGTGCGGCGCTTGGTTAGGACGTGTGGCAGGATCGCTGCTGCGTAGGATAGCGTTGAGAGGACGATGTAGGAGGTGATCAACGCGGAGAAGGCTGTGGTTGAGCCGATGTAGAGACAGCCCATGCAGGTTGTTACTCCCGAGACAGCGATGGTGGCGCGCAGCGGAGAGCCGAAGGTGGGTGAGATGTGGTGGAAGAACGGTGAGAACGGAGCCGCATTGTCGCGGGAGAGGGCCCAGAAGGTCCTGCCACCGGTGGTGAGGGTGCCGATCTGTGTTGGGAAGGTGGATATGAAGAGGACAGCGGTCAGGCCGATGGCTCCGGCGGTCGAACCTGTTGCTTGACGGTATATCTCCGCTGTGGGAAAATTGGAGGGAGAGTCGAGGACTGCGCCGATGTCGTTGATAGAGTAGAAGAGAGCGATGAGGTACACGAAAGCGGTGACGAAGGAGGAGCCAATCTGTAACATTATGCCTTTGGGGACGTTCCTTTCCGGCTCGTTTATCTCTTCGGACAGGTGAGACTGACAGTCCGGGGTGCCCACGGCGAAGGCAGCATTGATCAGACCGAGGAGGAAGCATATGCCATCATTGTTCCATCCAGTCAGGTCTGTGTACTCCTTCCACACAAACTCGTTCGAGGCATGTCTCCCACGAGGCATGATGGACAGCATCAAGACCGAAATGACAAGGCCGGAAAGTGAGACCCACAACGACACTTTGTTGATGAAAGGGAGCAATCGATTCCCGAAGATGACGATGCAGCAACACATCCAATTTACCATCTGAAAGGCGATGAACACCTGCCAAGGATGCCATTCGACACCCGGGTTGCTGAGAAGATACATGGCGACGAGCTCGTTACCGAGGATCGACGATATTGACGACGCCGAGAGCAGCCAGCCACACATGTTGAGCCATCCTGCGAACCATCCAATCACACGCCCGTACTTTGGGCCAGCAGTGACTGATGCCCAGTGATACACACCTCCCGCCGACGGAATCGCAGAGACAAGCTCCGCTAGCGATGCGGAGATGAGCGTATAGAATATGGAGACCACGATTCTGAGGATGTCAGATCGTCGTCTTGTACTCTCTCTCTCTAACGGCCATGGCCAAATATCACTCACAATCCGTACAGCACCGCCATGGGGCCACCATTAAAGATCGCGACGACAATCGTTCCGCCGGTAGCGGCCCAAGCACTATAAACCCAGCCGATCAGTAAACCCTCTCAGGCACCGATCAGACGGAGAACCGTACTTGGCAATGATAAATCCCAAACCAGTGAGACTGAAAAGATCAAAATTCCGTCCCAGCTCCTGCTTGTGGCCCAAGACCGTCTCAATCTTGATCGCGTCGGCATCGTGACTCGAGAATCCCTTGTTGCTGCTCCCGTTCGTAACTTTCCTTTCCGATTTCTCGGAGGCCATGGCGCGGGTTGGTGTGGCAAGCGTGTGTATGGCACGTAGAAGGATAGCTTGCGGGAAGATTTGCGACGATGTTGCGAATGAGGAAAAAGAGAGGAGAAGACAATGTAGCCCGAGCCTGAAGAACAAAGCGGGAGAAGCCTGCAGGATAATCCTAAACTGCCGTCAGAAAATCGCACACGCCGGACGACCGAAATTCGCTAGAGCCCTATCTATTTTTGCCCCACAACTGGGTCCCGGGCATCACCGCGATATTTCGACTAACATGCAGCCACTGTCCGGGCTGCAGAATTTCGGGATCCCAGTCATATGCGCATCCCTCGCGATTTATTGCCCGGGATCCTCTGCAGTAGGAAGTCGCCGAACCCGCCCCAGATCCCAATACTAGTTGCTGACGGCCACCTTCTGCCGTATGCTGATGTTTCACTTTCCGCACTATCGTATAGTTGGCGCTGGAAAGATCCACTGTACTATTATCTGCGGATGTCTTCCTGTTCACCAGTCCCTGCGTCAAAGCGATGCTGGAACACGACTTGATGTGTGCGTGGAGGGGAGTGGTAGAGTGTCACGGCGAAATTGGTCTGTGCCAGACATCAATAATTGCCACCACCGATCTTTGATGCCCCACTTGCAGTTCTCAAAGGGATGACTTCATAGCGTTTCTCGGTACCCACTCGTAGCGTTGTTCAGAATGACCGCAGCGCAGCCTTGCCCTATCTCTCCTTGATAATTTCGGCGGAAACACCACTCTCTCGGCTTCCCCAATGACGGTTTTACCACTAGGTAACCATCTGCCATCATCATCTCGGACGGGACAGGCTCCTCCGATTGAGTAAGGAAAGCCGAATAAGAGAGATAATGAATGCGGAGCCTAGGCCGAATCTTTGTCCTTGTGTTTAATCATTAAGACTACCCCGAATCAGCCTCTGACTACATACGTGCCCGCTATTGATGGCGAGTGACCTCATATGGTTACCACTTACGGCGGATAAACCACACATACCACCAGACATGTTTGGCGGTGGCTTCAAATGCTCCGAGGGGCCTGGAATATGGCCTGGCTGCTGGACAGATGTCGGCTTACTTATCAGTACCCATGCGATTGAGCCCGGTCTCAACGCTAATGCGCAACCTACCAGCGCTTCGTTGTAGTGCAGGTCGTCGTCAACCTCAACTCAGGCTTGATGATGCTAGTGGTAGGTGTCTTCCTAGTCCTCTAGGCGAAGATCAGCTCAAGACGACGGTTGTTCTCGTAGCGATGTTCGGCCTCGGCTTCTTCACGGTCCTTGCCTCCATTCAGAGCAAATAAATTGCGTAGTTACCTGCGGGGAAACCCATCTTCATGCATTGCCACATCCGCGAGGCAGCGGCCGCTAACTCCGTGGCAAGCATACCGTTGCTGTGGCTGCTGTTGAAGCCCCTCCACCGCTGCTGCCCTGCGGGGAGCTTGGCTGGTAGTATGTACTTCCGCTATTCGTTTCCTTGCGAAGCCTTCCGGTACAAGGGGGAGACGGTATCTGCGGTAGTTCCAGTAGGGTGAGTAGTATGGCAAGTGGGAGGGAGAGTACCAGTACGACGAGAACATATCCGCAGTGGAGCAATTGCTTCATCCGCGGCGGGCCGTGCAGGGCGAGGAGCAGTGGGAGGGAAACGTTATTCGTGAAGGGTCCAGCGGAGGGAGGAGCTGTAGTCGTATGTAGCAGGAGACACTATCGGCGGTGGCTACAGCTGAGCGAGGAGAGGTGGTAGCAGCTGGGCTATCCGCGACAGGACTAGCAGGGTGAGGAGCAGCAGTGTTCTACATACACTAGTCCCGACCAATTTTGGGTATGGCCGGGTTGGTCGGGATATATCCCGACCAAAAAAAACTTGGTCTGGTCGGTCGAGTAAAATCCCAAGCATGACTTATCAGGTCGGGTCGGGATAGGTCGGGCTGAGAAACAACATTTGAAGCCTCAAATAGTCTAAAAACCGCTAGAAACTAAGGATTACTTTGCGACTGATATGATTAGCAGTTAACCAAACAACGGCCGACGTGGGCCCACTGAGCCTAGCAAGGTCTGGTTGATTGGGATATATCCCGGCCTCCTGAACCGTAGGTCTGGTCGGTCACGGTATATCCCGACAGGCAAAAGGTAGGTGTGATACTCCGAAAAACTCTCGGGTAGTCACAGCAAGAGCAGTTTGTTCCGAAGTGATCGGAACACAGGAATAGATAGGCATGGCATAGAGACGATGTGGGCAGGAGTGACCAAACAGGGTCGAGAGGGAGGACGAGATCAGTTAACAGAACACCAGCATAGCCCACGCCCGGCTCCAAAGGGCCATTATCTTCCTCTATATCGTCCAGGCCGAGCAGAGAAACGCCCAGGAAGACTACAATCGCAGCAACCAGGTATGGGCGAAACAGCGGGTAAGGAAAAGCGACGAACTCCACAAGCAGCAGGAGGAATTGAAGAGGCTTGTAAAGGAAAATGCAAAAGCCTTGAAGCAGGTAGAGATCCACGCAGAAAAACAGAAATAGAAGGTTCCGGAATGGGTCCACACAGACACAAGAGAAAGATGAGGATCGGAAGCATTGTGGGCATTGGCTGCTGGCCCCGTAATGAATGCTGGTGGTTAAGAAACGCTTCAACGCGGCCTACGGGGACTGAACAATTAGCAGGCCCATCAAGAAGCTATTCAAGAGGAGTATCGGGACTCGAGGGAAGGCGCATATGCTCTCAGCAAGATGTAGGCCTTGAGGTATAAGAATGACATCAAATGATACCTCACCACCTTCTGAACCCTGAACCTACCAGCAAACGCAACTGGGAGCCGCTCCAACACATGGTGGACCAAGCGGTGCCGGCGGAAATCCTCCCAATGCGATTCTCGCACAATCCCAGCCTGTTCAGGGAGGACAAACCCTTCTTGCACGTAACCTACGAAGCTGGCAGATGTGTGGAGAGGTTGAGGGCATTGTTGAAGTCGAAGGAGGGGACGAGTGGGGGTTGGGGGCACCAGGGCTCTGAAGGCGACCAGAAGGAACCTGCTGAGGGCAACACTGGCCCTGGATATGGAACGGAAATGGGAAGGGTACCAGGAGCCAACAGGATGGTGGGAAATCCCAGGTCGACTAAACGGTCAAGAAGGCAACGGGTGCCAGGAAGGATAACTCGGAGAAGAAGAGGACTTCTAAATCAGGGAGGGAAGTATTGGCAGGGCTCCCACACGCGGAAATCAATGCACACAAAGCGTTCAACTGCGACTGCTAGAGATGTGGCTGGGACGCTCACATTGAGAGACTGGAACGAGTCCGGGCCGCTAGAGTCTATGGTATTATTGAGTATAGAATAGAAGTCAGGGATTTCGATAATTCACGACGGAATAATCTTAAGGGTGTTTGTTCGATGGTGTAACGGCACTGTCGGGCAAGGCTCCAGGTAGCGAAGCCGGGTGGGAGATTGGGTTCTGGGTTCGGCGGAGGCAAGACGGGTTCAGAGGACAAGGTAAGGCAGGGCTCAGGGCAGACGGCAACTGAGAACAGAGGTAGGGACAAGAACTACGGCGCAGACGGCAGCCGGGGCAAGCACAGAGGTAACAGTGATTGAATTGACAAGTTGTTGCTTGAAGAACTAAATACAGAGGGGCAACAGCCCATATATATAGAAAATCCTCCACTTCTTCCCACAACCTGACAATGACCATGGGCGTGTGGCAGACCCTGAGAAATCCACCTTGCCAGTACCCCCGCTTCTGTGACTCATACCCTGCGTAGCCGCACTACCCTGCTTGCTGTACACAGCCCCAATCCCCTGCGACTGATTACTGCGCTATCCCAGCTCCCTACACACAGCCCCCAATCCTCTGCGACTCATTGCTGGGCTATCCCAGCTCCCTGCACACAGCCCCCAATCCTCTGCGACTCATCCTTGCACTGCCGGTGCAATGCCTTTGCACTGCCTCCCAACTCTCCCGATCCTTGCGCCGACCCTCCCTTCGTCATTCCGGTGCGAGCCGTGACAGCTACCTGGAGCCTTGCTCGACCGTGCTGTTACAGCTGGCCGCTTGATGCATGGTACATTGTTCCTTGCCTCGGGCAATGGTGAAGCGAATTATCTGTTCTTCATTGTTCCAGAACCCCGTTGATTCGTGCTTAGTCATCTACCAATACTCGAGGTAGGCGTCGCAGCCGTCTAAGAGAGCCACTTCGATGGTTTCATTGATGTTGTCACGGCTCACGACGGAATGACGAAGGGAGGGTCGGCACAAGGATCGGGAGAATTGGGGGGCAGTGCAGAGGCAGTGCACCGGCAGTGCAAGGATGAGTCGCAGAGGATTTGGGGCTGTGTGCAGGGAGCAGGGATAGCGCAGTAATGAGTCGCAGGATATTGGGGCTGTGTGCAGGAAGCAGGGGTAGTGCGGCTGCGCAGGGTGTGAGTCACGGAAGTGGGGTACTGGCAAGGTGGATTTCTCAGGGTCTGGCACACGCCCACGGTCATTGTCAGGTTGCGGGAAGAAGTGGAGGATTTTCTATATAAACGGGCCGTTGCCCCTCTGTATTTAGTTCTTCACGCAACAACTTGTTAATTCAATTACTGTTACCTCTGTCCTTGCCTCGGCTGCCGTCTGCGCCGTAGTCCTTGTCCCTGCCTCTGTTCTCAGTTGCCGTCTGCACTGAGCCCTGCCTCACCTTGTCTCCTGTACCCGTCTTGCCCCTACCAAACCCAGAACCCGATCCCCAGCCCGACTTCGCTACCTGGAGCCTTGCCCGACCGTGCCGTTACAGATGTAGTGTCTGCAGTGTTGGAGAAACATCGGCACTGTCTAATATTCCCTGGCTCCTTCCACAATAATTCCGTGGAAGTTCTTGATCGCCACCGGCTTGGGTTGTTGAACAAAGGGCAACCCAAGTCGCGGTGCAAGGCTTCGTTTGATGATCAGAGTGGCATATCCTGTGTCAAGGAGTACCCTAATCTGCCGTCGCTTGTGCTCAGACCAGATGAGTATCATTTCTCTGA